AAAATTTTACTGCATTTTCTTCTTTGATCAATTTCTGGTTCATTTTTTCAATATATCGTATCCTACCTATGATGAAACAAAAATACCCCTTTTGTCATCATAAATTTTTTATTGGCTAATTTTACGCGGGATGCCCTTCCTTACGCAACCACAGTTATAAGCGGTGGAACTAGTCTTTGATGATCCAACATCCAAAATATATATATATATATATATGTGTGTGTGTGTGTGTGTATGTTATTCAAAATTTAGTGCATTCGTTTATTTATTCTAGACTGGATTACTGCAACAGCTTTTTTGATGGTTTGCCTGAAAAATCGTTATCTGTGCTTCAGTCAATTCAGAATTGGGCAGCTAAGATCGTGGTTGGTGCAAAAAAGTTTGACAATGTTTCCCCGTTATTCAGAGAACTGCACTGGGTTGATGGTAAAAAAAAGAATTTTGTTCAAAATATCAACAATCATGTTCAAATGTATGAAGGGAATGGCGCCAGTTTATTTGAAAGAAATGCATACACCGAACAACTGTCTTTTAAAACTGTCTGTTTAAGGTCTGATGATAGCAACTTGTTATGTGTGCCCCAAACTAACTTGAAAATGGCGGAGAGAAGTTTCTCAGTAAGTGGACCAGCCGTTTGGAATAATTTACCTAGTTATCTAAAACAGCTCGAAGTGACAGAAAAATCATTCAAGAAATTATTGAAATAATTTTTGTTTTCATTATAAGATTTGGTTTATTGTTGCAATTCAACTGTTTTTTTAGACAGTGCTTTTAAAAAACAGTTTGTTTGTAATTAGCGCTAATCAAATTTTTAAATAATATATATATATATATATTCAATTTATTCAGCAAAAAGCATGGAGACACAGAAGCTCAAACAAGCTTGTACAGTCACCCAACCCAAACCAAATAAAAACATATACTTACAGGAAAATAACAACATAAATGAAAATAAAATCGTATAGCTAGCCAATGAAAATAAGTTAAATTTAACCAAAAATGAACAGAAATTACTTAGAACAAAAATGATAATCAAAATTTATCAAGTTAAACAAAACTATTTAATTCATATTAGAAGTTTTTCCTTACAAAATAACTTAAATAATTTAAATAATTAAATCATATCTTGTAAAAAAAAGTTATTTTTAATTAAGTCAAAAATCGGTTTCTTAGTTAGATGCTTGTAAAACTAAACACGGTAATTTTGACCACAGTTTTAAAACAAATACTGAAGATGAAAATAAAACAGTACGAGGGACAATACAGTTGTATTATATATATATATATATATATATATATATATATATATATATATATATATATATATATATATATGTCCTGGTTATGACATTAAACTGACCCTCACTGCCTTGTGAGTGATGTTGGATCATCAAAGGCTAGGCCCACCGCTTATAACTGTGGTTGCGTAAGGAAGGGCGTCCTGCGTAAAAACTAGCCAAAAAATAACACTTATGATGACGGAAATAACAATGGCCCTCAGTATCCGGCAGAAGAGGGTGCGAAGAATCTCCGGAGACCCAGTCCATGGGGTTGTGGTGCAAGGCCCTGTTGATGGTCTGGCTACTGGCACCCCACTCTGTAGTGTGGCGGTGCAAGGCACTATAGATGGAAGGACTACTTGTAGACCAAGGGGTTGGAGGTTTGGTACCTGGAATGTAGGAAGAAGGAAGAAGTTTGGAAGTGGTGGAGGAGCTGCAGAGGAGAATGGTTGACGTGGCTGCATTACAGATCAGATGGAAGGATGAGGGTACAAGGTTTGTGGGGGCTAAAGGTGAAAGATATAAGTTGTGGTGGAAGGGGGATGATGGTACGGGAGGAGTTGGTGTGATGGTAAGAGAAGAGTTGGTGGAGGTGTTGGAAGTGAGGGGGAGAAGCAATGGTGTAATTGTGGTGGTGATGGTGTTTGGAAAAGTAATAGTGAGGGTGATATCAGGATATGCTCCGCAACAAAGTAGGAAGGAAGAGGAGAAGGATAGGTTTTATGATGATGTTTCTGACGAGATTGGGCAAGCGGGGTTGGATGAGTTTGTGGTGTTGTTGGGTGATTTGAATGGTCATGTGGGGGCGGATGCAGACGGATATGAAGGTGTACATGGTGGATGGGGATATAGTATACGGAATGAGGAAGGGCGTAGAGTGTTGGAGTTGGCGGATGCACATAGCATGGTGGTAGGGAATACCTGGTTTACAAGGGAACCAGCGCGATTGATTACATATAGGTCAGGGGAGCATAGGTCAATGATAGACTATATATTGGTAAGGGCCAAACATAGAAAGCATGTGAAGAATGTGAAGGCGATACCTGGTATGCTGCAGCATAGTATGGTTGTGATGGATGTGACATCAAAAGAAATGGGGAGGAGGAAGAAGGATAAGTTTGTGGCAAAGAGAAAGACATGGAAGTTGCAGGATGCAGAGGTGAGGAAGTGAAGGTGGCTGAAAATTGGGAGAGTGGTAAGGATGGAGATGTTTGGGAGAGATACAGGGACTGTGTGTTGGCTACGGCAGATAAAGTATGTGGATGGACGAAAGGAAAGTGTAGGCATGGTGAGACGTGGTGGTGGGATGAAGATATAAGAAGGGTTTTGGAGGTCAAGAAGTAGAGGTTTAGGGTATGGAGAAGGGACATGACGGAGGAAGCGGAGTCTGAGTATAGGAAGGCTAAGAAGGTTGCAAAACAGGCAGTGGCAACTGCAATGACGAAAGCATCAGATAGGTTAATGAAGGAAATGGAATTTGATGTGAGTTCGAGGAAAATGTTCAAAGTAGCAAAGCAGTCAATGAGGGATAGGAAAAATGTTATAGGGAATGGATGTGTTTGGGATGGATCTGGCAAGTTGTGCATAGATGAGGAGGAAAAAGCTCAGGTGTGGAAAGCTCATATGGAAAGGTTGATGAATGAAGAGAATGAGTGGGATGGAGATGTGGAATCCGCGGTCACACACGGACCTATAGAGAAGGTGACGATGGAGGAAGTAGAGAAAGCAGTTAGGGAAATGAAACTAGGTAAGGCGACAGGGGTTTCGGAAGTGGCGGCAGAACATATAAAAGCGAGGGGGGAAAAGGAATTGAAGTTATGATGAGAATTGCTAACAGTATGTTTGATGACGAAGGTATACCTGAGGATTGGCGACACAGTGTGTTGGTGCCGTTGTATAAGGGCAAAGGATATGTGATTGTGGGTCATATAGGGGTGTGAAATTGCTAGAGCAAGGAATGAAGGTAGTGGAGAGGGTGCTTGAGAAGAGGTTGAGAAATATGGTGACAGTTAATGAAATGCAGTGTGGGTTTATGCCTGGTAGGGGAACGGTGGATGCGTTGTTCATGGTGAGAATGTTGCAGGAGAATTATAGAAAGAAGAAACGAAGATTGTTCATGTGTTTTGTGGATCTAGAAAAGGCTTTTGATCGAGTACCGAGGAAGGTCATTGAATGGGCGTTGAGGAAGAAAGGAGTGAATGAGAGTCTTGTTAAAGCTGTGATGCAGCTGTATGAAGGGGCAAAGACAAAGGTGAGGGTTGGAAGGGGGATGTCGGACGCTTTTAGTATTAAGGTAGGAGTGCATCAAGGATCAGTGTTATCACCGTTTCTGTTTGCAATTGTGATGGATGTTGTGTATGGAAACATAATGGAGGGGTTGTTATTTGAGATTTTGTATGCAGATGATTTAGTCTTGATGGCTGATAGCATGGAAGAATTGCAGTTAAAATTTGACAGATGGAAAAGTGTTATTGAAAAGAAAGAGTTAAAAGTTAATATTGGTAAGACGAAGGTAATGGTGAGTGGGGAAGGTGGGGAGCGAGTGATAAGTAAAATAGACCCCTGTGGGGTATGTGACAGGAGGGTGAAGGCTAACTCGGTATTGTGTATAGGATGTCAGAAATGGGTGCATAAGAGATGTAGTGGTGTGAGGGGGGCACTGAAAAAGGTGGAAGGCACGTTCAAATGTAAGAAATGTGTTCATGGTGTGATTAATAGGACGGACGCAAGGACGGGGTTGAGTGGTGGTATTGAAAGAGTGGAAAGCTTTGTTTACTTAGGGGATAAGCTGAACGCGGATGGAGGATGTTTGAGCGCAGTTACGGCTAGAGTTCGTGTGGGATGGATGAAATTTAGGGAACTGGGTGGGGTATTGTGTGGAAAGAAATGGTCAGTGAAGATGAAGGGGAGGGTATATAAAGCATGTGTGAGAGCAGCGATGGTATATGGTGGTGAAACTTGGGTGTTGAGGAGAGAGGAGGAAGGTGTACTGCAGAGGGCTGAAAGAGCTATGGTGAGGATGATGTGTGGGGTTAAAGTGAAGGATAAGAGGAGTAGTACAGAGCTGATGTCAATGATGGGACTAAATGAGGACATTGTGACATTGATAAGGAGATCGAGATTGCGGTGATATGGACATGTGTTGAGAAGGGATGAAAAGGTCGGGATTAGGCGAGCGTTGGAGTTCGAGGTTGAAGGAGTGGTAGGAAGGGGTCGTCCGCGATTGGGATGGAGAGAGCAGGTGGAGAAGGACCGGGTGAAAGCGGGGTTGTGTGATACTGATGCGAGTGACAGATGTGGATGGCGTCGAGGGGTATTTCGGTTTCATCATATGTAGCCAAACGGCAACCCCCGATCTCGGGGAAAATGTCGTCTAAACGTGTGTTGTTGTATATATATATATATATATATATATATATATATATATATATATATATATCTGATGCTGGACGCTAAACGAAGATTGATTGATATTTATCTGATGCAGATCAACTGTTTTTACCCATGGGTGTGTGTGTGTGTGTGTGTGTTAACAAATATTTCAAATATTTAGATGTGAACAAATTTCCTAAATGTCACCATTAGTCCCTGCCTCCTCATAGCATATAATAATAATAAAGAAAGTGAAATTTCATTTCATTTATTTATTGTTCATTCAATTTGTGACCATTTATTGATAGTTTGAATCAAGCTAATCATAAATGTCTCTCGCCTACAATACTTTTCAGATTGACCCTACCAGATGATGCAAACATATATGGAAATGTTCATGGAGGAACCACCTTGAAACTGATTGAAGAAGCAGGCATCATACTTTCAACAAGATATTGTAATTATTTAAAGGTTAGATAAGTTTGAAAATAAAAAATATTTACTTTTATATTCTCTTTTAAAGTTTTTTCTAAATAGGTAAGCCATGGTGAAGGTAGTGCTGTTTAAGTCATACAATATAGTGCTCCTTAATGACGTGTACATTTTATAAATATATACGTACTAACCGAGTAAATAAATTAAGTGCAAATATATGATTGGTTAGAGCCAGCTCGTATATATTGTATATAAAATATGTCAAAAAATCTCCAAATTCTCTTCATGATCTTGTTTAGCATTTTTAGTTAAAGACGTACTCTTTCACTTCACAAGCTCACCTTCACATTCTCAATTCAAAACACTTGTATTGAAGCACAAATGTAAATATCTGTCAGAATTTCTGAAGGCATTTTGAAATGTTTTTGCTTCAAGTATATAATTTGTTGTCACTTTACAGAAAGATTCTTCTTCAAAAATCATCACGTCAATGTCTCGTATTGAGAGTGTGGACTTCATGAAGCCGATGAAAATTGGTGAAGTTGTAGAATTAACAGCAGAAATTGTCTACACAGCTGATAGGTCGATACTTGTTGAAGTCACTGTCGACGCTGAAGATCTTTTTGCTGGTTTTCTATATACATTGATTACCACATTTTCAAATTAATATTTTTATTCTCACCACAGTTTCTTGCAAATTGAGTGTGGAGTGGTTATAACAAAACAAACTCAATTTAAATGAACTGTTATAATGAATTTTCCAATTTTTGTATCATTGTATTTTATTTGTGTTTACAACAACTTTGCAGCCAGGAAGCACACAACGAACAAAGCTCGTCTATGGTATGTAGCAATGAATGAAGATGAAGATATATTGCAGGTTCCACTTATGACATACAATTCTAAAGAGGAGGAAGAAGAGGCGCAGGCAAAATATTGCACACTGTTAGTTGATCCACCTGCCAAAGAACCCATATATGATGATGACTCCATTCCTGACTGTTTACCTAAAATTCCAGAAGTCCATAGTGTGGCATATTCGGAAACATGCCTGTCTCTTATGGTGGGACCAAATGACGTGGCGTTTGGTAAAATTTGCAGGGGTGGTGTGTTTTTAAAATTAATGGATGAATGTGCTGGTATAGTTGCTGCAAAGCACTGCAGGAACAATGTTGTAACAGCTTGTCTCGACGCAACCAACTTTTACACACACATCAGGATTGGTTAGCTATCAACTATTAATATTATCCTTACTTTGTAACATTTTTTACATGAATTAAAAATTATTTTTTTCATCAATTGTAAATTAAGTCACAACAGGACTTTCACTTTATAAGCCAATCAAAAGTTTTAAGTTATATAGTTAAAAGTTTTTTTTATAATTTTTTATACAAAAATGTATAAGTTATGTTACTGATTTTTGAAACTGTTAGTTGAATGCTCTACTTTGCTGATAAAAGTACTGAACTTATGTTAATCAGTGAATCAGCTAAGTTGATTGATGCTAACTTGGTTCAAATGCATGCTTTGCTAAATTCAAAAAGCACCAAATACTTCATGTATACGATTAAAAGTTTGTTTTTTGTGTGCAGTGGTTTTTACATACGTTGAGTTGATTGAGTGGTAACTGTGCTGCGAAATCATTTCTCTAGAGAAATGCTGTCAGTTAAAGGTCATTCTCACTTGCTTCAGAGTTATCGACAACGATGATGCACAGCACAACATATGTTAATATGCTTTAAGACCACGCATCACACATTGCATATGTAAAACTAAGCATCTATAATGCTTCGAATATTCATGATTTTTAAAATAATTCATTTTTATTGGCTTTTTACGTAACACATTTGAACATTATTTTTATTATTTATGGCTAAAAAATTGTTGTTTTTAAATAAATTTTTTTATGTTTTTCTAAAATTTTTACATAAAAAAGTATGATTTAAATTTTTTTTGATAAATTGGCATAATGATGGTTCAAGATGAATTGAATAATTTTATAGGAAATGTGCTCACTGTTCGAGGCAAGGTTACATTCACAAGTAAGAAGTCCATTGAGGTTGAGGTCATCGTGTCAGTGGTCAGTCCATTCGAGAAACAGTACAAATCTATAAAAGCAGTTGATGCTTTCTTCACTTACGTAGCCATCGGTCTCGATGGCAGAGCTATGGAAATTCCTCCTTTGAAGGTGCTGTTTCTTGTCAATTTTGTTTTATTGTTGCAGTTGTAAATTGCACAGGTAGTTTCATTGAAAAATTCCAAATGGCCAGGGAAAATTAAAATGTTTAACAAGGATTTATAACATTAAAGACTGAGCATTCAGGAGGTGTGCTGAAAAAGTATGGATGAAGTGGTGTTAAACAAACAAGAGCTGTGACACTAAGATGATAGAAGAATAAAATCAGGAATATGATCGGATAGGCAAATGTAAAAATAAACACAAGCCAGCTGTATTTATTTCCGGGGTGGGCATTAAAACTTATTGTGGATGCCTGCTTTTTCTGCTTTGATTGAAAAATTGGAAATGGTACATGATGATGATAATTAAAGTTTTAATTATAGATAAATCGAGGGGTATTTCGGTTTCATCATAGGTAGCCAAACGGCAACCCCCGATCTCGGGGAAAATGTCGTCTTAACGTGTATTGTTGTTGTATAGATAAAATGATGCTCAATAAAAGTATTACTGTTAATTAAATAAGTCTTGTTTTGACGATTTTCAATAGCTGAGTTTTTCAGCTGTCCAAAATTGATTTGTGTAGAAACAATAGAATCAGCTGAAAAATGGTGGCATTTATGACATAGAACAAATAGATTGTTGATTAGATAACATTCGAGTTATGCAAGAGGACCGTGCAAGTCTTTCGTGTTCTATTGTGGCAGTTATCAGTCAATCAATCAATCAATCTTCGTTTAGCGTCCAGAGACCCAGTTTCCTGAGGTAGGACGTTGTTTTCTTTGCCATCAACTTTTTGCGCCAAATTAGACGATCAGTTGTATCCATTTCATTTAAATTTAGAGTTTTCATGTCTTGCTCGATTGTTTGCGACCAGGACTTCTTTGGACGGCCTTTGGGACGTGTACCAAGTACTTCAACATCTGCAAGAGAAGTTATGGCACTGTTTCCACTTCGTTTGACATGACCAAACCACCGCAGACGGTGTTGCCGACATTCGTCCTTTATATCATCTAAACCAGCATGACGCAGGATTTTTGTAGATTTGATGTGGTCCTTCAGACTAATTCGTTGCATCCATCTGAGCATTTTCATGTCGGTTCGTTAAAGTTGTTGTTCCAGTTTGGTTGTCATTGGCCATGTTTCTGCACCATATAACAACACCGGACATATCACAGATTTATAAAGTCTTGATCGTTGTGGTAGTGGGATGTCACGCCGCATCAATATAGAAGCAAGGAGATGCCATTTATTCCAGGCTGCACGTATGCGTGCTCGAACGGCAGCTTCAGCTGTTCCAGTAAAATCTAGAATATCCCCTAGATATTGAAACGATGTGACTTTCTCTACCTTAATGGCTTCAAAAACATTGCTATTTCGAATTTGTTGTTGTGGATTGATGCAAGCAGGACAAACAAAATAAGACACTTTAGATGAAGTACCAATTATTTTTGAACAACGTTTGTGACACCACTGGTTACACTGGTCGAACAAGATATTCTGATTGAATTGTTACCTACACCAGCTTTACAAACTGAACAGGGCCATCGTCCAGTAGCTGTGGATTGGATGGGTTCACAAGTGTTCAATGCTTTGGTTTTGCTGATGTTGACTTTGAATCCATGATCGGCGAGTCTGGTGTTCCAATCTTCAAACATCTGTGCTGCATTCTGCTCAGACGTGGCTGTTAAAACCATATCATCAGCATATATTAGATTCCAAATGTCACCAGTGCGTATCGGTTTTGTGATTTCTTCTATCACAGTTATAAATAACACTGGACTGAGAATCGAGCTTTGGTGAACTCGAACGCCGATGTCAAATGCATCTGTGTTTCCAACCGTTGTGCTGACGAGAGTCTTAGTATTCGTGTACATTTCTATCACAAGTCGAACAAGATATTCTGGAATGAGTTGTCGACGTAGACTCCACCTGATTGCTTCACGGGGAACTCGATCAAATGCTTTTTCAAGGTCTACAAAAATGTGTGATAGTTGTTGATGCTTTGCGAGGTACTTCTCTTGCAGTTGCCGAAGGATGTGAATTGCATCAATTGTTGATGTCCCCGCTAGGAAACCAAATTGATAATTTCCGATTGTGATGCACGACGTTAATCTTCTCTCAATGATTTTCTCGACAATTTTCAGGGAGTGTTCTAACAGACATATACCCCGATATGATGAACAGTTCAATGGATCACTTTTACCTTTGTATAGCAGAACTGTCATGCTATAGTTCCATTCAGTCGGCATTGAGCAACTTCTCCAGATTTCACGGCAAAGTTGTAGTTACGTTTGAATACCTGCAGTACCAGATGCTTTGATAATGTCATTTGTGAGTCCAGAGGGTCCTGCTGCCTTTCCATCCTTCATAGCTTTCAGAGCTTCTGTAAGCTCTTCTACAGTGATGTCTGGATTCGGACCTTCGATGGGTGGAGCGTCAAAGTTGACATTGATGGGATTTGTTTCATTTAACAGACGGTTGAAGTATTCTCTCCACTGTAGCTTGATCCCATCTTGTTCAAGAACCATCTCATTTTTGTCGTTTTTGATACATGAGGCACCAACTATGTCTTTTTTCGTACGCTATGCTTGTTTTGCTATACGATGCAGAGATTTCATTTGTTCACCTTTGCTTTTAGTGAGCTACTCTCTACACTGATCTGTCCAAGCCAGTGCGACTTGACGTCTTGCATATGTTCTTTTCACGGAAAATTTTATGGTCATCAACATACTTTGATTTTTGCCATTGCTTGTATGCAGCCTTCTTTTCAGTTATTGCATTTTGTACACCTTCATTCCACCACCAAGTGTCCCGTTCATGCTGACATTTTGTACCAGTTTTCTCACAAACTGTAATTGCAGCGTTTATCAAAACGGTTTTGTATGGTTCTGTACTAGATTGCGATTGGTGGTCTAACTGTGTGGCGACAATCTGTTTAAATTTTTCCCGATGAATATTGCTTTTCAGCTTCCACGTTTTGATTCTCCGAGGCATTTGTTTAGACTTATGTTTTGACAGTTCGACAACAAGGTCTGCCACAATGAGTCTATGTTGAGCTACACATGATTCGCCAGGTATAACTTTGACGTTTTTGAATAGCCTTCAGTGTTTTTGCTTGACAGCAAAGAAATCAATTTGTGGGGCTGATGGTCCACTTTTGTATGTTATGTATGTTCCAACCTCTTTCTAAAATATGTGTTCAGTAAACAAAACCCGTGACTTTAAGCAAACTCAAGGATGCGGTTCTCATCTTCATTCCGTTCTCCATAGCCAAAACCGCCATGCACGTTGTCAAAACCATCTGTTTTCTCTCCAACGTTTCCATTGAGATCGCCTCCAATAGGATTGTTTCAGATTTTGGTATTGTTGAGATGGTGTCAGAGAACGCAGCCCAGAAGTCATTTTTCATCTCTTCTGATTCGCCTGCCTGTGGTGCGTATGCAGAAAAAGTAATCATTTTTTGCTTTTGTAGTTATCAGTCGTTGGTTATAATGGTATACTAACTAAACTAAAAAAATAGAGATTATTCAACTGAAATTGTGTACTTTCAATAATAATTAATTATTATGTCATAGATAATATACTTTTTTCGAATATATTTGAAATTCAAGAATAAACCTTATAATTCAGATGAGAAAGTGTAAGTTTCATGTTTTACTGAAAAAATGTGCAAAACATGAAAAGATAATATATGCATTCTATATTGTTTCATTACAAAGACTATTTGGTTTTTAAAATTTAATTGTTGGTTATTAAATATATACAACAATTGTAATAAGTTTTTTCATTTCGAAGGTGCGGACAGATAATGAGAGGATGAGGTTTGATGCTGGCATGAAAAGGTACATGAAGAGGAAAGAAGGAAGATCGAGTGAACGAAAATAGTTCTTAACTCATTTTATTCATTTCTAATTTATTCTCATTTGTTTTTTATCTGTTTTTATTTGTTTTATTTATAGATATAGAAACCATATCTGTGGTTTTAGTATTTATATGGTTTTAAATATTTTATTTAAAATTGTTGGTGATCATTTTTTAAATTCATCAGTTAATCAGGGTTTATTAACTGTAGTAACATTTAATATTTAAATTTCCGTTTCTCGTTCAGAGTTAAGATAATATATTGTAACATTTTCATATTATTTGGCTCTGAAATTGTTAATTTCTTTTAATTCTGGTTAACCTTATTGGCACGATTTTATAAATTAGTCAGCTAACTGAATCATGGCATAAAATATAAAAGGATTGGATTTTAAAAGAAAGTACTGAACATAAAACTTCAGACTGAAATTGCCATGTACTCTTTCAGTTAGAAACAAGAGTTGCGTTGAAGTCAGTCATTTAATGATATTTCTTACAGAGACTCACAAAATACGAGGTGACATTGTCATTGATGATTATTGATTATATATTAATGCGAACGCCTCCCAGTCAATATTAAAATTTAAGTACTATAATTTAATTCTTGTACTAAAATTCCACACTATGGTTTTACAAAAATGTTAATTATGTTTTGAATTTGTTAAATTATTTTGTTTTCATATTTGAATAGAGTTACATAACCATTTATTTTGCATGTTTGTTTCAAAATTTATTGCAGTGAAGACTAAGATGGTGAAATGCAGATAATTACGTCATATAACCAAAACATCTCTGGACTGGTGTTGACTGACGCCGTGACATCTTTCCACCAGTCCGGATTTTCAGTCAATTTGTTCAAAGTTCTCCTAACTCGCTGATTTTAACGCAATTTCCTTGTTCTGATTCCAAATTCATCCCACCATTTTTCGTTCGTCCTATGTAACTTTATTCGGCTTATATTGGGTAATGCGAGTTGGTTGGACGGTGACGGCATCAATATGAGCTTTTTAATGAATTTTTAGAGTTAATCACCGATATTTTGGACTAAATTTTAATATATTTTGTTTGTAAAAGTTATTATTGAATATTATTCTTAAATAAAATGAACAAATAAAAGTTCAATTTGTTAATACATTGAATAATTTTCGAACTTGTGCCGGATTTATTCTGCATAGATGTAAACTTTTAAAATTTAACGGCAAATGTTAAACTCGCGAATCATGTGGTAATATCTTTTTCTATTGTCTGTTTTGGGCTCTAAACGTCGAAAAATTATTATTGGCTTAAATTTTATTTGTCGGATGAAAGTTCAAACGCATATGTTCCTTTAAAGGAGCGTTTACGGGTAAACACTATTGAAAATTTAGTATGGCGGTTATCATGTTATAATATACTTGCAAAAATGATATAAGGTTTACTTTATCGTAGCATAAATGCTCTCAAATGCTGTCGTTAAAAAATAAGCATAAAAAAGATAAAAGATGAATTTCAGATGTATGTGTGCCGTTAAGTCGCATGAATGTGTGTTCAAAAGGGTTCACATGTTATATTTCATAACTACTTTTAATTATTTCTGTTTATGATAATTATTTCTGTTTATGATAATTATTTCTGTCTATGATAATTAGTTCTACCTAAAATTAAAATATTTCAGTGATTTAAATTTTAGTATAATTATTATATCACCAAACGATATCATCTTCCACAACTATTCGTCATCATCCATCAGCTGTGTGGCTGTGTGCAGCCACTGATTTTCTCACGACATCTCTCCTGGGCCAGCTCTTCCAGTGTCAATCGGGAGCTTCCCTTTGTAACTCCATATTTGGAGAAACCTGCCCGCAACTAACCACAACTATTACAATACTCTAATACATGTGTCGTCAAACATTTTGTTCGAGGAACACATTGAAAACTGTTTTACCATTAGAGGGCCGCACACATATATATATTATATTTATATATATATATACACATAAATATATATATATGTGTATGTATATAGGATTAAGACTGTCAGAAATGCAATTGTTGATGAAAATCAATCATAACGTGTTTCTGTTTAATTTTTCAGTTTTTCTAACTGTAGATAGTAAATCATTGTCCTGTTTTTTGACAACGAACGTCATTTCTCGGGATGAAGAACAACTGCACTAGTAAGCCAGAATCGATAATGGATCATAGCCATTTAGTATGGTCGTTCAAATTTAATATTGGTGAGTGTGGGCACTATAATTTTGAAAATACTTGCACGTACGTACAAACGCACGATGCACGTGCAAACTGACGCTTTAAAGAATCACTTGAAAGAGAAACTCAAAACTAAAATTACTAGGCGAATCTTGGACAACAATGGTGAAATCTTACATTACAGTAACAACGATTATAATTTACGATTAGCTGAGTCAATACCCATAGAACAAATACATCTAATAATCAATATTCGACTTTGGAAACAGAGGAATCATCGATAATGATGACACGTAAAAGTGTTATATTGCAAAGCTGAAGATCGTACTAATAACTAATTAAATGACCGTTAATTATCCACATTAAACAAAGAATTAACGTTGTAGAGACACAGGATATATATACTTGTGCATTTGGCCACAAACACTACGTATCAATTTGAACACCGAAGATGGTATAACACCGAAAAAAGCTTTTTTTTGTACTATCATGTTTAAAGTAAATAAAACTTTTGGTTTTAAACAATAATTTGACAATGATTTACGATCTACCGTTAGAAAAATTATACAGAAAGCTGACAGACGACGGTTCCGATTTTTTCAAGAACCAAACCACTTAACTTATTTTCTCCAAGAAATTCTCGGCCTCTCTCACTTCAAATGATTTTTTTTCTTTCCTTTTCAAAGGACTAGCTGCTTCTGGTGGTAAATTAAAATTTGGAGCACCTGTTCATTTTTCAAAGTTGCGTCTCTTCAAAAATGGCTTTAATATTGACTTTAAAACTGACGACTTCCGTAGTTTTCATGTGATGCATGATGATCATAATGGCAAATGTCTTAAAGATATGAAATGCTTTTCTCCTTTTGTCATAATCTTTGCTAAAGTCAAATTATTGAAAATTTAATTTTAAGTATCTATAATGCGAATCGAATTTTTCTGCCAAACTTATTTTATTTTATTTATTTTTTTTTATTTTAACTTATTTTATGTATATTTAGATAGGACTTTTTATTTTTAATTTTGTATTATTTTCTTTCATAATTTCAACACTTGAGTTGATATATTTGTGCCTTGCGTATTTTTACCAACGTATCTATTGCGGGATTTGACCTTTGTAAAGAAAACGAATATAGAACAATTATATAAAAAACAACATGCATAAATACATTACACAAAGTGTATTATCAACGAAACACGTAAACTAGAGAATAGTATAAAACACACGTTCAATGTACAAGAGTTGTAAGATGGAAAAATTAAATAAATTCAATAGAATATAAATTCAGCGGATACGGGAGGGAATCTTGATTCGTGTGTTGGGTGAATGTCACTGACGGTCTTGATTTTGTCGTTGTGGTGGTGATCATAATGATGTTGGTGAAATAACTTATATTGTTATGAAGCTTTGAAGAGTGATGAATTAAAGTTTTGACTTGATGTTGGAAATTCGTTTCTGGGCATCATGAGATTATTACATTGTACTGTCTCTTAGCGACGACGACACAATGATGATGGCTCGCAGACAATCTTCCCTACGTTGAAGACCTCCTCTGTTACGTTCAATTATATGTATGTATGAATGTGCGTATAAATGTATGTGTACAAACAGACACATCTGTACATATGACACACACCAAACAATTTAAACCTCAAGCGACTAAATAAATCTATTTTGAAATTAAACCAGGAAAACTATTTTAAAATTATTAGCAGGGTTAATAATATTTCTCTCTCTCTCTCTCCCTATATATATATATATATATATATATATATATATATATTTACAATATTCTATAAATTCTACTGAATGTTCGGTAGAATTTATAGAATATTGTAAAAATTATGGTCTATTACCAACATATATATATATATATATATATATATATATATATATATATATATATATATATGGTGTCGAATTGAATCCACAAGTACGTGAGTATACATAAGGGTGAGAATTGGCCAGCACGAGCACGCAAACATCTACATAATATGCTAATTACCCCTTAAAAACTCTCGGAAAAGCTTTATGACGCAAAAAGGCTTGCACATTTTATTCTCTCTAAAAATAAGGTCCATTAGCAACCCACAACATCAGTATATAACATCATTAAAACCTAACATAGACGAAAGCATACAATAGTGGCAGAACAGTCAACAATAAAATTATAATTAAGAAAAGACAAAATGAGTAGGTACAAATAACAATAAAACAATGCAAAACCAAACGATTACGTCAAACAAAAACGTTGTACCTGAGAAAGGATAGATTCTTCAGAAGATATAAAGTGTAATATGTCTGACAGGGAGATTACCCCAACAACTTGATTGCTTGCATTTACCACAACCAACCTGTGTACCTAACAATTTACAATTTCATTAAATAGTAGTGAGGCAATCAAACCTCATCATTGGATTCGTGTGCATTTTCGGTCCACGGAAAACCGACATCGTCATAAATGAAATCATTAAATAACTGTCATCTAATTGAGAACAAATCTGTGCAGTCGCATTCTATAAATTCAAGTAAAGGCATTGTCACCTTCAATTCTAATAACATTTATAACTATTCACCATTTGAAATTCATGGCGGAGGTATGAAACTATGATGGATTATGATCATGTGAATTTGACTTCATTAACAAACAATTTTTAAATGTCGTTTCATAAAAATTGCTCCATGAAAATGTAGAACAGTTGGACCTCATAAGAAATATACACTGCATGAGTTTAATAACATAAACCATGCATCATAACATACTTCGGCTCGGACGATTCTTTCCATGACAACACTGAGCGACTCAGTTACCAAACAGGTTGACACTGCTTCTATACGCTAGTTACAAAATGAAAAAAAAATTACAAATCCGCTTGACCAGTTCATAAAATCCAGTTAATCATTAGTAATTTTAACATTCACATATAAAATCGATTTCTTTTTTCGCAATTTTCCTAAATTATGAAATATCATTGTAGTTAACATTATCAACTATAAAGATCTTCAGTAAGACAACTAACACACAACAAACAGGAACACCAACCTCTCTCCTTTCTTTTAGTGAATGTCCGATTGTTTGATTCAAATCGTCATATGACTTATCTATTGCTAGATTCTGAAACAGAAGTTAATTCATCCAGTCCATTAATATATTCCTTCAGTTTTAACATACGCTACCAGGAAATGAAATTCAATTAAATGAACTCCAGCCATGCAAGCAAAAAGAATAAAAACAATCTTCTGAATGTGTAACGGTAGTCATCAACATAAATCGTCACCACCCCATCGAAACTCACGAAGACATCAAACTTTGCATAAAGATCAATGATGCTTCCACTGCTGTCTACCACCGGCAAAGCAGATATTCTGTGATCAACGAACAGCGTGATGGCAGTGATCAGCGTAGTTTCATGGGTGACCTGGTTACGTATATAATATTGAATACCGCAATGACAAAGCGTCATTATATATAATATAACAATAATTCGATCAATCAATTCTCGTTTATTGTCTCCATCCGTTATAACAATAATTATGCCCATATGATCGCGTCACTAGAAAGTAATTCAAATATAAAAGTATAGCGCAGTGACAAATGGAGACACATCAAGGCACATAAAATCCAAACAGATGCAAAACGCCAACGAAAAACACCAGAACATAAAGTTACAGCAAGTGCTAACACAAAACAGCACGCAAGTCATAGACATCTTGACCTTAACATCTTGGGCGAGTTGCAAACGTATACTCAACATACCCCATTGGATCTACTCTATTCACATCTTGCAGCATTTATATAAGGACATTTGAATCAATTTTTTGGAGAAACAAAATATTTCCAAACGTTTCCAAGTCATATAAGTCTACCGTTAATTGGAAATGACTCAGCAATAAAAATTCAGCAGCAGATTTTCGTCGTCATGGGATATATAACAACTAGGAGTCTAGTATAGTAAAATTACATTTTTAATACTTTAGGCATGTTTCCACATGCAAAACATTACATAGCTTGGAGAAAAGTTTAATAAGTTTGGAGAAAAGTTTAATAAACTAAACGATCTATTTCCATTTGTCTTTTTCCTCAAGATTAAGTAAAAAAAAACAGAAGCAGACGACCTAAATAAAATCATTTTCTGTAAGACTATTGATACAATCTGCTAAATAATTTGTTGGTTTTTGTGCATAGTTTTTAATTATACATTATACAGCATAATTTGGTCATGCAAGGAATGATGAAAGTTACAAAAGTCAAAATAGCACCAAATTAATTCTTCCCAGATTTTAAGAAAATTATGGTGAGCCATAAAGGGAACGTATAGCACAACAATTCTAATTAGGGCCTTTAAAATCATGGCAAACGGTAAGAGTAAAAATTGTTGGCATTTTTGAGACGCAATTTGAGGCCAGATGTGTTGAGTCTGTAACGATGGCATTATCAAGTGTAACTGACTCGACATACAGGGAGTCAGTTACACTTTTATTTTTATTATTTTGTCTACTCGTGCATGGTTTCGTAAATTTTAATGAAAAATACAATTAAAACTTGATGAGATGTTCTTATGAGTATCAAATCTGTGAAAATGTGAAATACGTAAAAACTCAAAATGCAGTGAGCCATCAAAACGATCACATTCAGTTAATGCAACGCAGTCAACTACTGTGTATACATCACAATATATACATACATATATATATGTATAAACATAATCACAGCTTGATGTACGAATATGCATACATAACAAAATAACAATGATATACTGTATGTAATTCAAGAGTAACCTACAGTAATAATATCCTTGTAAGTCCCTACTCCTAATTCACCAATGGACTTTTCCATGAAATTCGGTTGTGGAAGATCATAAACCTGAAGAAAAATATTATGCATGTGCGGTCAACGGATAACGAGGATGGCAGTTGTCAAATGGCCAGTGGTGGATTAAGATGATTAATTACGCAACCATTTAAATGAGCGTTGAATACCTTATTGAATGATAAGATGATTTACTTATTTAAAAAAATAACTGGCCATACTTGGAGACTTTATTAGCCAACTAGCAAGTAAAAACACCGTAATTTGTATAACCAAGTTAAAATCAGGGACATTAAAATAACGAAACTAACTGGACCGTTCCTATCAAGTTTTCGAAACAACTTTCTTAAGTTATTTGAACTAAAGTACATTAAAGCCGTCACTAAATTACAACCAACCACACATCCAGTCATTCAATATTAAACCATCGAAAAAGGTCAACACATTACAACAAAAACATACATATAAATACAAAAATCGAAGTATTCTTTTGTGGGTTAAAATGTATAAAATGTTTCCACTCTGATAATCCACCACAGGTAATCTGAAAAAGTAAAGAAATAGGCAAAACTACGATCAAGTTGATTATAATTATTGAAACAATTAGCAGTGAGACAAGCGATGCAATTATTTTTTTCATTGTTTGCCGTAAATCAAGTCAGTTTTTATTACTTTCACAGCGTATAACAGTTCCACAACAGATTTAACGCCAGTTGAAACAATAATCATCATCTCATATGAGTGAGGAACTTGGCAAATGAAAATTAATCTAGACTATCAGCTTAGCGTTTCATGTAAGCAAATAAGATACTTATGTACAATAATATGTGTTGAAAACAAAAAACATGGTTTTGCATAGCAGAGCTTTCAGCTGCTATAGTATGTCCAAGTGACTCAACTCTGAACTGCTGATGAAAGAAAAATAAACGAAGCTACACAAACAAAATAAAATAGACCTATGAATTTTATGTTGATATAAGAAGTGGATAGCCTCATAGAGACTTGCTTCAGGGTGAATGGTGATGAGTGGTTTGTTCTGGTTGTCCAACTCCTCTGAAAACAAACATTATTCGTACGAAAATGTTGCGAACATTCAGAGTAACGTTAAAAGTTAAAAAGCAATTGAGCATCACTGAAACACACATAAAAATGAATGACAAGTGAATGAACGAGTGAGCACACAGGTGAGCACATGAATGATTATTATAGAGCACCAACCAGTTAAAAAACAAGTCGAAGATATATACAAACCTTTCCAAGTTGATATCTTGTGCCTTTCAAGTTCGTGGATGTGATCCTAACAGAAAATAATTAATTCATGCTTGCTTTTTATGTTTAAAAGTGAACAATAAAAATCAAACTATTTTCTATGTTATAAAAATTGGGATATTCAAAAAACATGAAACTTTAATGTCAACCTCTACCTTAAATCAGTATTTTTTATAATGAAAAAAATGTTCCATTAAAATAATTTAAAATTCATAAGAATTGTCTCCAATCACATTAAAAATTCATCAATGAAATGAAATAAACGTGGTAATTATTAGTATTATTGTGTCGATAATTATTGTGATGCTTATGATGGCTGTGACAAGAATGACAGAATTACTTTTGAGTTCTTGTAGTACTTGTGCAGAATCTTTATGAAGTCAGTTATCGTGAGCATTCCTGGAAAATGCAATTTACACAGTTCAACGGCTTTCATGAAATTACATTTTGCAAGAAAACTGATCGACAACCTTCGTCAGAACAGTCAACTAACAATAGGACAAATCAAAAACTTTAAAAGTTGAAAGCCGGGACAGCATTTTTAATCACATAACTGACTTGAAAATTTCTAAAACTGACAATTAAAATCAGCCTAGTTTCTACAGCTTAATATCTGCCAGTTTTTCTTCAAAAAAAAAAATCAATGCATCAAAACAGCAGCATCTTTAAACACAAGTGTTACAATTGCAACATTCACGAAAACAGCGGCAGCTCAAACAATATTTAAAATTACAACAACAACCATCACTGAAAACGACCTACCAACGAATTTCTTCAACTTGCCATCCCACAGCGGAGCCGCCCGCAAGCTGTTCCACACCAGCGCCAATAAGGCTTTCTTCACCTGTTATGTCATTTGCGTTGTCAGCGTGACCACGTTTATAAATTTTCAGATTATGCCGCTAATGTCTACGAGGTGACGCTTTTTTTCTTTTTAATAACTTTACTTTGTTCACTTTTGATATTATTCGACCGGTGATGATAACTTTTGCTGTTGCTTACATCGATATATTTCAAGTGTGGAATGGAAAACAATATCTCAACAACTGCACTAGCAGTCAGTCAAGTGTTGAGAATGAAAATAAAATTTAAAGCAAATCATTTGCCTGTGATAGCATTGAATTTTTGTTAATATTGTCATTGTCTAACTTGATCATGTAATATATTTAGTATTTATGCTGGTGATGTTGTTGTTGATGATGTGATGTTGATAATGTAGATGATGCGATGTTGATAATGTTGATCATGTGATGTTGATCATGTTGATCATGTGATGTTGATAATGTTGATGATCTTGCTGTTAAAAATAAATGATTGAAGTTAAAAAAAAGTTTGTTGATAAAATTCTTCAGTAAAAAAAATGGGCAGATGACAAAAATAAACGAAAAATTATATTAATTATTGGCTAACAAACCACACTACAACATCACTGACACCAAGTTCTGTATCGAATATGAGAAGTTTTGCAGATGTCGGGATGAGGTCGTAGCAATTGTGAGCCTTCATGAACTTTACAAACACGAGATCTGCATTACCGTCTGTTTAGATGTGATACATGTGCAAGAAATTCACGTTCCATTGCGCATGCTTATGAATATCAATGAACGAGCATCAGCATCATAACAATCATCTGTTCGAGACATTCGGTCAAATTTAAGACAAAGAATTATCATAATGTAGATGATTAGACAAAAAACATGAGATTCAGCCATAAAATTTTGCCCACATTTATTGCAGCCAAAAGATAATAAAAATGCTCACCTACGTTAACATTAATAAAAATTATAATATTGATAATGAAGAAAAAAAGCTAATCAAGAAAAGTGTGACAATGGTTATTACGTGTCAAATGATAAGTTGATTTCATAAATGACAAGCCAGGAAATAACAAAACGTCTTTAAAAATATAATCCTTTTGACAAATTTAGGAAATTTTATTTTCCATATTTTAAAAATTATTATGAAAATATGAGAAAGCATGTATGAAAAATGAACACGATGGATGTGAACAGCCTCAGCATAAAAAGGGGATGTCAACCCACCACTCAAACAGAAAGACATAATTATCAAATACGTGTATTTGGCGCGAGTTGTAAGTAACGTTCATTACTAAGAGACTTGCCAATATAAGTACAATTATACACTTTCATAACAAAATCAATCAATCCATCCATCAATCAATCCATCCACCAATCAAACCATCAATCAAACCATCAATCAAACCATCAATCAAACCATCAATCAAACCATCAATCAAACCATCAATCAATCAATCAATCAATCAATCAATCAATCAATCAATCAATCAATCAATCAATCGATCGATCGATCGATCGATCGATCGATCAATCAATCAATCAATCAATCCATCAATCAACCAATCAATCAATCAATCAATCAACCAATAAATGTGTCTGAAACTGCAAACAGCTGGTACCACCAGGGGCTACCTCAGTTCCCTTGCTTTCTTAAAACTTTAATGCACTCCAATTTAAGTTTAAATTTAATCTTTTAAATTCTTCAATCTTTTTTATTTGGCTACAAAGCCATCAACTTCAACACCTTGTTTCACATTCATGTTGAACATAGTTGAGCATAACAGCATTAAAACACATACAGCTAATTAAACATATAAATTAATTAGTTAAAATTAATAATTAAGCAAGTTAAACAAAATATAAACTACGACAAATCACAATTCATCTTCACAGCGGAGCCCATCTATGCAAACGATAATAATTATGTAAATTTTGTTAATAAATAAATGAAAATCTGACAACACAGTCTGACGTCACTTACCCAAATTTTCCATCTCAACATGCTCCAACTGTGGCAACTGCAAAAAAAAGGAGAAAAATTAACACATTGGCGTACACTTTACACAAGGGTAACTGTATGAAATAGATCACTGTGAATCATTAAATTAACTTTTAAAAATTAAATTTAACTTATTGATATTGATACGAATAACTGAATTTTCAAACAATGCAAAGAAGCACTTAAAAGCTATGAAATTGTTACCATATCACAAACTATTGAATCCTCCTTAGCATCGGATTTGTTAGCAAACTGCCACAAATATTTAAACATCTTAGTTCAGTGACAGGATAATTATATTGGGAAACCTTCACACTATTATTGTTACAAATCTTAGAAGTAACCATTTAAATCGGACCGAAAATTGTCTGACTCGAAAGGATTTTCAGAAGATCATGAGAGGAAGGACATCCAGTCATTAGGGAAACAACTTGCCCCAACAGATGCAAAGAGGCAAGGAGAGAATGGGAAGGGCTCAGAAATTGGAGTCCAAGATGAATGTTGTAAGGGGCGGGTGTTACAAGTTTTTGTGGTTAGGTGATGATTATATTCTGAAATAGGTACACGGTGGTAAGGTTAGTGGTTGGCCTCACAGGAAGGAGGAAGCAGAGAGATTAAGATGGAATTTTGATGAAGTTACGTGAAGCGATGAAAAAAAATCAAAAAATTAATCACGTAAACTGTGTCTTTCAAAAAGCAACAATAACGATAACCTGGCTAGGCTCATCATAATAGCTCTTTACATAGAGTTATGATTGACAGATTCAGTTGATGGCATATGCTGTTGGGTTGGTGATGTCATCACTGTGGATAAATGTGCATTTTTGAATCCAGGCTACAAAACCATCGTTTTGTTTATAAGAAATTCACTTATTTCCACATTGGAAGTGGTTTGAATACCGTCCTTGCAGTATCGGTGAACTGCAAACAAAAGGACTATAAAGAGATCCAGGACCATGATATCTCTGAGTGGCCATCAGATTCCACTTTGAAGGGAAATTAATATGAAATAGTTGAAGTAAAATAGGAAGATGATCACCCGAAAAATGAGATCTGAAGTAATGTTAGAAATTTGTAAAAAGAACAGATGAACTATTTAATGCACCACCGTTAAGTTGGGAAAAAGTTTGAAAAATACAGTTCAGAAACACATTGTGTAATCTTGCAAAATCAATATACTAGTTCTACAGAAAAACCATCTGTTAGGCCAAACACACAGTAGAAAAATATTTAAAAAATGTGTTATATTCAAGTAATGGTAAGGTAAGATTTCTGTGAGAGTAGTCCTAAGTGAATCAGAATTTCAGAAAGCAATTCTTTTCTCTTGAAGTACTCACTTCAACATTCGAGTCGGTTCTCCTGTCCCTCCAAATAATGAAGTGTTGCAGATTTTGCTTGTCGCCGTCTGGTGGAAAAATTCCATATTCAGTATCAGTAAAAACAAATTAAACAATACATTGTGATTAATAATCCTTAAAAGTGTCATATCCATTAATTATATATTACATATATATATATATATATTATATATATATATATATATATATATATATATATTACACATATATTACATATACAAAAAGGTTAAATAAATTATAGAGCGCTTGACATTTTAAAAATTAAAATGTGATATGTTATAGCAGTAAAGGTTTTTCAGTCAACTGTTTTTCATTATTTTAAATTTGTTATTCTTTCATATATAAACTATAAACGGTCATTAAGCAATTATAATTTCATTGAGTGTGAATGTGTGTCGGTAGCCATGAATTTAATCCCAACTTATCAAAGATAGTTAATGTTGTAACAGGCAAAGGAATAATATTAAGTAATAATTATTACTTATTTAATAATGATAACAATTATTAACAATATTAATAATTAATAAATAATAAGATAAAAAATATTCAAATAGCAACTTGCACTTTGCATGAATAAATTCTATTATTTATCCAATTTTTATATAACGGTAACAAGTACTTATATACTTGGTACTAAAGACTTTTTCAATACATAATACTTATTTATACACAAGTGCTTATTTTACCAATTACTTAGTACTAACTGTTAATTTTTAAAACTAACTAAACTCTCTCTCTCTCAATAAAAAATTAAAACCAGTGGTAAACAGTAAATGTAAACTGTAAAGCTATGGCTAACCCTCTAACACTTAACAGTTTTAAACTTTATTAAGTAAAGCTAAAAATCTAAATTCTAACTCAGTTAAAAAGTGTTAATAAAACCCACATAAACTATAGTTACTAACTATAATTAATGAGACTACTAGACTATTATAGAGTTTAGTTTAGTAGAGTTTTTATAATTTTTTTATAATTACATTCCACTACTAAACTTCAGTAGTAGAATGTAATTATAAAAAAATAAAAACAAGGTTTCACTGACTTTAAAAATCTAAAAACAAAATTTAATAAATAAAAAAAAACTAAAAATACAAAACACTAAAAAATAATCTTCTTACTGGTGTCTTCATCAGTTACGAGCACTTGCGGTGCAACTGAACCCTCCATTACAACATTTGAACCTTCCATTTTGTATCAAAAACTTCCGAACTTGAAGTGAAGCTTGCAAACAAACAGACAGACAGACGAAGGAAGAAACAAGGCAGTAGAGTAGAACGTATTACAGAAGCCACTTTAACGAAAAGCTCATCAGGAACAAATTGTTAAACTAGCAATGGGTCAAATAATTAATCGATTATTTCGGTATTTTGAAAATTCATAAATCGTTTATTTCTTGATTTCCATGGATGTTAGTCAATTTATAACTAAGAGTTAAGCGTTGAGTAGCAAAACATGGAATTTTAAACTGAAATCGCACTATCATATCTTTCCCATCGTGTGCTCTGCTGGAAGCAAGAGAAGAAAATGATGACGTCAAGCATCCATTATAATTGGGGCAGGGAGATTGACTCTAGGAGTGATCATTCACAGCGTAGAAATACAGTGTAATGACGTAATTGCTATCAGGTAAACGTTCACATCAAACATTTCATTTCACTCCTTTTTTATTCATGGTAACAGAAGAATATTGAGTACTGGTAATTGTTTAATGGCGAAAATAATTGTCATGTAATTTAATTTAGTTTGAGTTATTTGGATTTTTTGTTGTGCGAAAAAAAAATTATTCAAAAACTGAGATGCGATTTGCAGAAATCATTTTTTTAAAAGCTCTTTTGTATTATTCTTGGTTTAATTTACAAAAATTATAAATTTGACAAATAAATTCATAATCTTCTTCATTAACATGTGACAATTGAAAAAAATTCAAAAACAACATTTTAAATCATTTACTGCACCGGAGCACATTCAGCCAATTAATATTACCTCATCAGAACTGGATTTGGTTAATAATAATCAAACTGAACGCAAGTTCCGTAATATACAATTAAAAGATTGTCCGTAATGGGCGAAACAATGTCACAAATTTTATGACGCATCGTGACCAATGGAATAACAGTGAACTCGATGTTAACTATATTTGATTTTGTATTTTCTAAAAATATTGATGAAGCCATATTTTGTTCTTGACTTGACAAGGTAAAACGGAAAAAAAGAAATATTGTGGTAACTTGTATTTTTTTAATTAGTTCAAATTTTTAACATAAATGAATCCAATTTTATTTCAACACAATTTTTCAACAACAAATTGAAAGACTGCCAAAATCTCTATAACAAAAAAAGTCGGTAACATATATTACTGCAATCTATTTTAACCTAGCCAAAAGCTAAACCTGTTCAAAAACTGAGCTAGAGTTTAAATAATTAAGAATGTATGCAACGATTTTTAGTGAAACACTGAATTGAATTTATTCAGTTAAATTTGAATTGGTAAAAACCTTGTTTTTTTTTTTTTTTTAAACAAGTTTATTTCATGAAAACACATGAAAAAGGATTCCAAAAGAAACCAAAATTTCAAATAAACATTAATTAAACATTAATTAAAACTACGAAATAAAGAAACAAATAAAAAAAATATATATATATATAATAATTTGTTATTTATTATATATATATATAATTTTTAATTAATTCTATCGCTTTAATTAATATTAATATTATTAATTTAAATTTCTCTAATAATATATTGTAATTTATTATTTTGTTTCTTAATTAAATTTAACTAATAAACTAAATAATAAATTATAATATACTATTAGAAAAATAGAGAAATTAAAATATAAATTTATAAATAATAGTAGAGCGATAGAATATAATAAAAATTGTAAACGTAATGGCCTTATACCAAATTATATATTAATAGATTTATATACTTATATATTCCTTTAAATATTATACGTATTCTTACGTAAATTATTTTATTTATTTAATAATTGGTTCATTTATTTGTTCACCATTTTTTATTCATTCGTTGGTTAATTTGCAATATTAACATTATTATTATATTTGTTGATTAAATATGTCATGCAGTCTAAGTAACTAACATTTTTAAAAACATTAAGTGTTTCATATACATATGATTAAGTATCTAGAATTCAAATACTGCTGACAACACCCATTTCTAGATAAAAAAAACCGATCCTTATAATTTGCAAAGTGGATCGCTATTAGAGCTTTAAAACAGTGATGTTCAAATATTTTGAAAGTCGTTTCAAAGTTATTTTTAGTGAAATGCCAAACTGTGTAAAAAAATTTTAGTTTTAGAAATTATTAAAAACAAAAATGAGCACAATTTTCAATAGTATGACACAATTTTCAATAGTATGAACAAGTCATGAAGAACGGTGGTCTGAATAAAAAACAGCGAATTTTTTTGAGATTTTGTTTGCTTATCTACTTAATTTGCGTGTGTTGTGAACAACTGACTGATTATGAAGAAGAGGACAACTGTGTAAGATAGATTTTCAGGTTTCTGATTGGTCAAACCGTGCACTGCGAAGACTTGCGTTCCATCAGCAGCTATGTGACGTGCCACTGGGCGATCGTTGTTGACAGACATCTACATCTAATTAATGTTTCCTGTTATAACCTGTTACATTTTAACTCGTCAACCATTAATAATGGATGCATTGAAAAAAAAATGAAGTTAATTTTTAATTAAGCTTTAGCCAAAAGCTAAGTAACCCTAGATTATTTTGCAATCGCCAAATAAATAAATATATTATATATATTATATTATAATAATCGACGAAACATTAATTTATTTTTAAGAAATTGTATCTAAGACAGTCTTAATCCTAATTTTATAGTTATATATATATATATATATATATTTTTATACACATATTGTATATATATATATTAATCTTATGTACATATATATATATATATATATATATCTATATATATATATATATATAGTATATGTGTGTCTCGTATAAAAGGTTCCATTCTATTTCATCATATTTTTCGCGTTTTGTATGAAAAAGTAGTCAAAATATAAAAAAAATAAATAAAAATAAATTAATATAATGTATATATATAACTAGCAATATATATATACACACAAATATATATATATATATATATACACAAATAAATGTTGTTTATATTGTCAACAATTTTTATAATATATTTCAATATAAGCAATGCGTCTGGCGGCTTATTAAAAAACCTCTACATTGGAGGGATCTTCCCACTGAATGGAAGTTGGGCTGGAGGTCGAGGCTGCCTTCCCGCGGCCCTCATGGCCCTTCATGCCGTCAATGAAAGAGCTGACATTCTACCTGGATATCGTCTGAACATGGTTGCTCTCAACAGCGAGGTTTTAATTTTATAATTTATTCTATCGTCGTTTAAATTATATTTCAATAAGTATGGTGCTATAATTTTCATTATTTTTGTTTTTGTTTTTGTCTAAATTATTTTAATATCATTTAATATCATTTAAACTTATTTAAATAGCATAATTTTTACAAATCAGTTATGATTCATTTAGTTATGGAAAATAAAGTGATCCAAATGAAAAAAGATACCATTAAACTGAATGAAATATCTAAATTAATCTAAATAGGACGTAGCTGAAGGCCTATTTACCAAAAATCAATATACAACATAAAACAAATACAACATCAACCACATTTCTCTACTTTAATCAAACTCTATATGGCAAGACTTGAGCTGATGGTAATTGGTTTCACATAGATCTTAAAATGACAGGCTCAGGCTCAGACGAGAGATTAGCGGCACATTTTTCGTCCATCCCATCTGCGTTATTCACACTGGCTCTTCTTTTCGTGGTATCTGCTATCTATGCTATTGTAAAGTATACAATGCAATTGTTATAATTCTTATTCTTCTTGTTATTTTTCTTTTTCTTCTTATTATTATTATTATAGACAATTTCATATAACAAAAGACAAAATGAATAAACAATTAACTGTAATATACTATTCTATATAGTTATTCAAACACATCTATAGGCACACAGTGGCGGATCAAGTAGACAACTTTGACGGGTGGGGGGGCAAGATTTTCAAAAATATTTGCTGATCGGGAGGAGATTTAAAAAAAGTCGATAATGACCGGGGTGGGAGAATTTAAACAAAAGTGAGGGAATTATTGATGGGGGAATTTTGCAAATTTTGTGACCGGGGCTAAATTTTCTGGTAATGTAAATTTTTTCTTCAAAAATCACTAAATTTTCCGTTTAAATAACCACCTTTACTAATAAAATAAATAATATAAATAACGTTCACAACGTGTGGGCCAGTGCCCTCCTGCCCCTTAAATCCGCCACTGTAGCACATGCATATCTAAATAAAAAATAACGAAAAGGATTAAAAGAAAATACAAATAATATATTCATAGATTTATAAAATTAAAAAAAGTAAAATAAATGTAAACTAACTTGAAGAATTTAAAACAATAGTAGGTATTTGAAGTTAACGACTGAGTTTATTTTGTTTCGTCATTTATTTTGACCTGTTTTAAAAAATTCACGATAAAATAACGATAAAATCCAACCGGACCACGTTTCTACATCATCGCGCGCTCGATCGTGAACTTTTCCGACACTTGCATATATTCGTTTTTCATAAATAAGTTTATTTTTGGTTTTTATTATAACGCCTTTTAAATATCAGGTGTGATGTATGCTTCTAAAGACATTAAAATTTTTTAAAGTTAATTTGTCTTTGATATCACAAGCTTGTGCAAAATTATAATATTCCATAAATAATATTTTTTTTCGCACAATTATTATTATTATTGCAATTCATTCTAATGTGCCTTCTTTTGAGAAGAATAAAGAAATATAATTTTCAATATTTTAAAGTGTAAGCCAGGATTAGGTATGGCGAAATTGTACCAGTTGTTGTACAACGACCCAGTGAAGATTATGTTGTTAGGGCCGGGCTGTAGTACAGTATCAACGTTCGTTGGACAGGCAGCTTGGATGTGGAATCTCGTCGTCGTATGTGCTTCCAATTATATATATATACATATACACCATACAACGTATAGATAAATAAATTCCTTTAATGCATTAAAACTCAATAATTTTGTTGAAGCTTTCATATGGGTCAAGTTCTCCTGCCCTGTCCAACAAAGCGAGGTAAACCCTTATACTTGCGTTGTTTGTTGTGTGTTCGATGTAGATGAACTAATGGAATATATATGTCTGTATCAGCATATGTTTGCTCCAAACTTAATATTACACGAAATGCACGAATTTTCGATCGTTTTAAACATAAATTTTTTTATGAAATTTTTTAAAACTCACAATGGTCATAATAAGCAATTAAAAAAACTAATACACAAATCAAAAGTCTATGGCATCTAAATAGATGCTTGTAACTTAATGAGGTAAAAATGTTTCAGTGGATTTTAATTCTAGACACAAATGATCCTTTTCAACAATTATCCTAAACAATTTAACACAGATATATTTGCAACACAGTTTTGTTTAATTCACAATGGCTACGTTCTACGCAAAGCTCTAAGGTTCAAACATTCTTAAAACCCGCCACGTTTCGCGTTCTCTTTGTATGCAGTTTCATGCTGTAAATAAAGTACATTTTAATATTTATATTGATCATTGACGGATACAAAACGCAGCCAATCAAACTTCAAGCCCAACTTGAAAAATTCCTTGTTAACTCGCAACCTCTTTAATTAACCAACAACTCACCATGATAAGATTCCCAAGTTTCTTCCGGACGCACCCATCAGCCACCATCCACAATCCAACGAGAGTTAAACTTTTCAAAATGTTCAACTGGACCAGAATTGCGACGCTGCAAGATACGCACGAAGTTTTCACGTCGGTCAGTTTTTGAGTTTTGGTTCAATTCAGTTTTTCACTCTATTTTTAAATCGGATTCAAAAATTATTTTATGAACGTCCATGTGTTTTTATGTACTGTAATGTATGTATAAAATAATGATATCGCAAAAAGACGATGGAAGACCTTGAGGAGAGATGCAAGCAAGCGGGCATTGAAATCGCTGTGAGGGCGAATTTCCTCGGAGATCCAGTTGATGCTGTCAGGAATTTAAAGGTTACAAATGTTTGTGAAATTGAAGGGTTGCACTCATCTATAATATACACGCAATGAAAAAGCGTTGGGTAAACTTTTTTAGTTTCGAATAAAAGTCACAAGAGTTAATAATACACATGGAGTTGAACAAATTTTTTGCTTCCCTTAAAACGATTTAAAACTCACTTCTTACTATAATAATAATATGAAGATTTAAAATAGCATTAAAGTTGTTTTACGTAAGATGTCGTTAGAATGTCGTTTAATGTCGTTAGAAGCTTTGTAGTTTGTTGTACGCAATGTCTTTCGTATTGATAAAATACAATTATGAAGTAGGAAGAATGCGGATGTTTAAAACCAGCATTTGATGTTCATTAATTTCTTCACCCAACTAACACACATTCAGAAGCAAGATGCCCGAATCATCGTCGGATTGTTCTATGAAGACAAAGCCACCAAAGTTTTTTGCCAGGTTTGATTTTTTTAAAAATTACATTTCTAATTCACCGTGAAATGCTAATTGCCAAGATAACGCTGGTTAACTGTACATTAATATTGAAAAATAAATAAAATTCTTTTTTTTCCAATTTAGAAATAACTTCAAAAAGTTATCATATAAAAAAATTTATTTTTCAAAAGAACCGTGACGGAAAATTTTGAAAATATAAATTATGCACTTAAGATAAAAATAACGACAACTAAATTTATTTAAAAACTGAAAACCTGCCACCTGCAGGCCTACAAAGAAAAACTGTTCTACCCACGCCACGTGTGGTTCATTCTTGGCTGGTACTCGGATAACTGGTACACCAACGTCAACGGGACCAACTGCACCCTTGAAGAAATGAAGGCAGCCGTCGAGGGTACTTCGCTTCTTTTGAGGCATTGCACAGTGCACTGTCCTTCTATTATTATAACAATTCATTTGCCGTTGGCTTTTTATCCCGTTAAACTATGTTAAATTATTTAAGGAATTATTTCCTCATCTCATCTTCTTTTTTCTTCTTCTTTTTATTTTTATTATTATTAATTGTTATTATTATTTTTTAGAAGTAGTAGTAGTGGTAGTAGTAGTAGTAGTAGTAATAGTTGTAGTAGTAGTAGTAGTAATAATAATAGTTGTTGTAGTAGTAGTAGTAGTAGTAGTAGTAGTAGTAGTAGTAGTAGTAGCAGTGGTAGCAGTAGCAGCAGTAGTAGTAGTAGTAGTGAAATTCAATGAATAGATTTCCCCAGATGAACTGATGTTTGAAAATATTGTAAGGCCTTGACCGCCCCTGTTTTACATGTCTGATTTTTTTTGAAGCGTGTTTAATGAAAACACTGCCCCATCTGCGTCTACCTTGAAAAACGATCCCACTGCAATCACCGATGACTGCATTTCTTAAACGAAGCCCCGTCATTTTATCTGCGTCTGAATGATTTGCAAGCAGCAAATTCTACGGTGCCCAATCTAGGAACCACTTCATCGCGGTGGTCATCATCTTGCTTTCTATCAGTTGAATTTAAATATTGAAATTTTCATTATGAATGGATGATGAATGGAATGTTGATCTACGTTATGATTGTCACCATGACAGGCCACTTCACAACGGAAGGAGTGATGAGGAGTCTCTACAGGGCTGATCAAATTGTCTCAGGAGAGGTAGGTTTGGCTGAAATTGTTGCATCCTGTACGAGTGATGTAAAAACATTTTAAACAAGTGCTTGCCTTTTGTAAAGCGATTTTTAGAATATTTCTTGTCACGTCGTTTCGAAAGAAGTCTTGCACCTCAGATTCACCAAATTATTTCGGTGGACTGTATAACTTAAAATTAAAATAACAACCAAGATAGTTCCTGAAGCCGTTGTCAGTGGCGTGCGACACCAACTTCAGATTTTCTGTTCAAATTTTCAAGGATCCTGAGGCATACTGCTAGTTGAAAAACATTTTGGATCTGTAAATCGATACTAACTTGATGTCAACCACTTTTTGCACTAGGATTAGAAATTGATATACGTATCGAAAAAGCCTCAATTAAACTCACGATTGGGTTAAACAAACCTTTCGTTTGAGTCACAATATCTGGTTTTCAATAGTTTTTAACATGGAGGAAGAAGGAAAGATTCAACATTTAAACTTGCGAAGTACAATGACGTATAATGAATGTCCCCAGACAGAACATCTAGATACTCCTCCTTATTGTCTCTTGCTGAAACGTTCAATGTCCTGCTTAAAAGTTCAACAGATCATCACTACAAGGCCACATGAATATAATATAAATTTGCCACTAAAATAAAATAATGCAAAATATTCACATTTCTTTTCATCGAGCACTAGGGCGTTTATATTTCTTAAATTCAAAATGCGTTTTTTAAAACACACCTACCAGGTTGTTGAGACCGTATTAAAAAACATGAATGAAAGCATCAAAAACGCCGAAAGAATCGAGAAGGACCACCAACTATCGGAAGTTGTCGGCTTCCAAGAGGCTCCTCTGGCGTATGACGCCGTGTGGGCGCTGGCGCTGGCTCTCAACAAGACACAGACTGCGTACGTGACGGTGGAAGCACTCCTCGTCCTCCATTTTTCATATGAAACAACACATTTGATCAGTTCAAATTTTTGGATTCGCATGTAGTTGAAAAATCATTCACGATGAAATTAATAATAGTTATAAATAATAAATGAAGCAGTGATTTAAGCAATGAAGCAGTGATTTAAAAAAATTACTCAAGTTTGCAGAGACGGGGCAAGAGCCTGGAGGAATTCAACTACACAAGCAACGAGATGATGATTGAAATAAGTCAAGCTCTAAATGACACGAACTTCATGGGAGCATCAGTCAGTATTTGTGAGCAAGTGTAATCAACATGCGTGTCATTAAAATCATATATAAATATAATGTATTGCAATGTTAACGTTGAGCGTATATTTACGTCTGTTGGCTTTAATGCAACCAGTCGGTCATCTCCGTCTTTGTGTTGGTTTGCCACAAATTTAGTTTTTCATTTTATTGCTAAACTTAATACAAAACTTTCTCGGTGTTCAGCGCAGTACTTCTCAATCAGTAGCCAAATAAGATTTAGTTCTAGTAAGAGTTAGTAGAAATTGTATGACTCAAGTTGCAATTTTAGCTAAAGTGATTTGTTTGTTTTGTGTTATACCTACAATTAATATAGACTAATTGTCGTGGCAAAGAAAGTAATTGATACACGTAAAAACTATTTTTGACGAAAAACACCATCCACTTTGAGAGCCAAAATACTTTGCATGCAGTGATGTAGCTGTTGTTTGTGTTTCATCTTTGTGTTTTATCTTTGCTTTTGTTTTATCTATGTGTTTGTGTTTTATTTTTGTGTTTGTAATTAATCTTTGTCTTCGCATTTTGTTTTTTTGTTTATATTTAATCTTTGTGTTTGATCTCTTTCGATGAACTGTTTTACTGAATTTGATCTTCATCTTGAGTAAGAGCAACCGGCGGAAGTTGAAAATGAGATATAATGATGCAAAGTCTTTCCAGTTTATGTTGAAATTCAAGCACTATAGTTCAATTTCTATACTAAATGCACACACCCGAACAGGGCCAAGTAATTTTCAACGACAAAGGTGACAGAATAAGTTGGGTGCAAATTGAACAAATGAAAGGTACTCGTCATATGGTTTTCATTTTGAATTAGGATATTGTTATTTTAACATTTTTAAATAATTAACTACGTACTTAATTTCAATTTTGTTTACAAATACTTTTATGATTAAAAATTTTCATGAAAATTGACTTACTCCATGTTATCATTCATTTTATTCATTATTATTTGTAGCAAATTTGTTGTTCGCCGGCAGGTGGTAGGTACGAACGTGTCGGTGTGTATGACTCCATGAAGGACAACTTGCTGCTTGACGCCCAGGAGTTCTGGCCCAGTTAATCTTTCATAGTTTCGACGTGCACTCAATTAAGATCACAAAATCATTTTCCTCTCTCACTCCTACTAGCATTTTTTTTATCTTAGCTGTGGCCATCATATTTATCGTAAATCTTTTATTCACCCTTTTATCCTCCTTCTCCTCCTCATCATCCTCCTCCTCCTCCTCATCATCATTCTCATCATCCTCATTCTCATTATCATCGTCATCATAATCATGGTGATTTTCATTATTTCCAAATCTTTCATAATTGTTAAATAGACAACAGAAAGCCAGAAGACCGTAAAATTATTCAGAAAGAGATGAGGACGATATCGTTCGTGTCTTTCGCCTCCATGTGCTTCTTGGCTGCTTTCGGAATTTTCTGCAGTGTTTTCCTGCTGGTCTTAAATGCTGCACACCGATTGCAGATGTAAGCTTCATTGATAGTATAAAATGTAAGATTGCAGACGTAAGCTTAATTGATAGTATAAAATAAAATGTAAGATTGCAGATGTAAGCTTCATTGATAGTATAAAATGTGAGATTGCAGATGTAAGCTTCATTGATAGTATAAAATAAAATGTAAGATTGCAGATGTAAGCTTCATTGATAGTATAAAATGTAAAATTGCAGACGTAAGCTTCATTGATAGTATAAAATGTAAGATTGCAGACGTAAGCTTAATTGATAGTATAAAATAAAATGTAAGATTGCAGATGTAAGCTTCATTGATAGTATAAAATAAAATGTAAGATTGCATATGTAAGCTTCATTGATTGTATAAAATGTAAGATTGCTGATGTAAGCTTCATTGATTGTATAAAATGTAAGATTGCTGATGTAAGCTTTATTGATAGATAGCACAAATTGAAGGTGTGAGATGTTTACGAATCTTCAATTTAACATCATTTCGAAGGCAGTGATGTTTAAAAATATACACCAAAAATCAAAACTATTCATCTGTGTGAGCGTACTTGTGTATGTTAATAGACCCAAATGTGAATCATGGTATTAATGTTGAAAGATGAAATAACTTGTTAGGGACAATCAAAAATCTCGGAACTGCATGAACACGGTGATGTTGCTGGGATGTCTTCTGTGTTTCGTCTGCATCTTCATCAACGGCCTGGACGCTCGACTTGTCAGCAGATTGACGCTGCTTAAAATTTGTCAGGTCGGTTCTTCAGATTTTTATGAAACTTACACCGTCGACGATGGCTTCATCATCACATTGTTAGAGTATCATAAATTTTTAGGCTGATAACGTATGGAAAATTAAATTATAGCATTTGCGAGCGTTTAAGACAGGAATATCCTCCCGATTCAAACCAATTAAATTTTCAGGCTCAGAAATGGATTTTTTGTTTTGGATTCACGCTATCATATGGTGCCATGTTCACCAAAGTGTGGAGTATCTACAGACACACTATCAGGCAAAAAACTGGAAGTCATGTAATTTTTTTCTGACTATACGTTGAAGTTTGATTCATTTTCTCGTTTCATATTCATGTTTTTTTTAATTTTACAAATGATTAAAAATTATTGGTAAATATATGGACATTTCAAAAAATAAAAAAATAGTTTAGTTGTTGTTCATTATTTTTTTATTTGCTTACTTCCCATGCAGACTGTACACGTAACCACGGAATCTTTTTTTGTGATAATCATTTGTCTGGTAGTTGATGTTATCATTTTGAGTGTGTGGCAACTGATCAATCCAACAATCATTGAATTGGAGTTATTCACATTGGAGAACAAGCTGAACATCTACAAGGATGACACTGAAGTCATATACGAACTTGAGCACTGCTCCTCCCACAATTACTCAACATGGTTTGGTAATGAATGCTTTCTTGTTATAAAGTTATTAAAAAAAATAAAACTTTACAATTTTTGATGTGATGACAAAATTTTCATAAATTTTGGTGTAAGATTTAAAAATGTTGAAAATTATATTTGATCGAAGATGTTTCAAAGTTGACGTACCTTTCAGTCCTCATGTGTTGTCGATGTAAGGCGCCAGTTCTGCTTTTGTAGAGCTGTGCAGCGGTGCATGCAGCAATAGTTGTGGCCGCAGGAAAGTTTATTTATCCAAGGAATCGACAGAATGCTTAACGTCACTCGCTGGCACACGCCGATCGTACGAGTTGAAGTCTGTACGGCTTAGAATTGATTTGTTGCAAGAGGGAACAATTTCTGGTGTTTATAATAAAACCCACTTGTCTGAATATAAATAATGACAACAAAGTTGAAGAATGAAGTAGACAACAAAGTATTTGTATTCGGAAAGAACTGAAGCATTATTTTTCGTATGTGAGCTTGAGAACAATTTTATTGAAGGACAGACTGCGGGAAAATGGTTTCTACTTCAGTTGCTGTTACAACTGCGTGTGTTCATTTGTGTTGTGTCAGCACTTCAAAACATTACTGGGTACGGAATCTTGTGCTGCTACTTTTATACGATGACTTTCCAAGTGCATTAAAAATGATCATTCCCGTGCAATAGTGCAGAGACGCGGGCAGCCTCGTACAAAGTGCTCTATGGATTCCGGTTGACTTTGATAGGAAAAGTCGATCGCTTAGGATGATGATGACAAAATTAAAACAAACAAAAAACGAACACAAATGTTTTCTTTTACAACCTTAATTGCCCCAGCTAAAAATAATGATCGGAAATCTTAATTGATTTATGTTTTCAACGTTTAAGCAAAAAGACGTCACTATTTTGGGACTGGAATGTAGTTTCTACTAAGATCATCATGCTCAAATATATTTATTTTAATAAATTTGGCATGTCGCTTGCTTGCATTTTAAAGGAAATGAAGAGAAGTAGCACAGCGAGAAATTCTGTCGTAAGTAATACAACCACCCTAGCGTAAAATCAAGTTGCATATTTTCTGATAAAAATTTCATCTTAAATTAGAAATGTTAATATCTAGGTTTTAACTGAAATTTTCTATTTTCTTTATAATTTTATAAAATTCAATTTAAATTTTAGTTTATAATACTAACTAATTGTTACAGTAATTATTGATAGCTTATTAAATTCATTTAACGCAACATTAAGAAATGAACAATTTTTAAATTCAAACTGAGGTCGCACACGTCATTACCTCATTTAAATTTGCAGCCAACATACCAAAAATCTACTACTCTCTTAACAAAAACCTACACTTTCTTTCCTATCTACAAAGGTTTTACTTTTGCCAGGAAAGGTTTCGGATGCAATAACTGATAACAATGAATTTCAACTTAAAATTTGTTGAAATATTAAAAAAAAAACGGTTAGCAAACATAAAATGTTCAAAACATTCACAGAAACGCGTTTGTTTATTTCTTCAGTTAATTGCATGAGTGCTATCAGTTATTATTGCTAGCTAGTACGTTTAATAAAAATCAATACAGTTAATAAATTCAGATATTAAAATCTAGGCATAATGGCCGGATTCAAAGGAATTTTACTTCTTTTTGGATTGTTGCTGGCTTATGAAATCAGAAATATCAAGTTGAACGAGGCAAATGAATCGCGATTTGTTTGTGTGTCCATTTACAACACCGTCGTAAGTCATTTCAGCAAAATTTCGTCAGCAATACTTTGCAGTCCGGTTTGGGTTTCCCCGCTTATTCGCGAAGCAGAAAACAAAAACTATTGTTCTTGATAAAAATTAAAACTAATCCTAAATATTGAATAATTCTAATCAGTTTATTCCCATGCTAATCATAATCGTTACATCATTTTAAGGCTTTTTTGGATATCCAGTTTTCAAATTCTTATTTTAGGCAACTTTCATCCTTCACATATTTCAAATTGTTTCAACGCAATGCAGAACTAGATATTAAAGCAGTCAATTTTGTCTCTCGAACTGACAACATTTCAAAATTTGTCTACATCTACCTAAAAAAATTGATAAATTTCTTTTTTGATGTTTTTAGGTACTCATTATTTTAACATTTCAATTTTAAAAATGTCATTTTAGCATCATGACATTATAATTATTTTTTAAGTATCATGTTAATTTATTCAATTGGAACCTTAATTGAAATGCTAACATTTTGGGTTTTTCGAAATATTCTTTTAAAACTTTCAATAATATTTAGTAGATACCTTCTTTTATTGTGAAAGAAAATTCAAACTTTAACAAAAGTAAACGATATTGTTTAATTGATATATAAAATCAACCTCTGAATAATTCAGCTTTTTCAGAGTGATGGCCTTCAAAACAGCAACAGTATGTTTCAATGCGAACCAGACTGTATCAAACATTTTGTAAAAAATTAAATGCTGAAAAACCATAAGCATAGAACAAATTTTGCAGGGCATTGTTTGTTTCTTGAACCATTCATTTTGAAAAATTAACACCTTGTTTAAACAAATTGGCTGAGAAGTGTAGTATTGCTGCTGATTTGTTTCGAATTATTAAAGTTATGACTTTTACAATTTATTTATAATTTACTAATTAAAATAATGAATCTCTTGTTTCTTGTACCTCTCTGACGTACATGTGACGTACACTTGACAGATTTTGTGCGTCATAACGGTGCCAGCTGCCTGGATCATCCGATCCCATCAGGATGCCACCTACTTGTTTGTTTCCATCGCCATTCTCTTGGGAAATCTCTTCTTCATGTTTGTCATTTTTGTACCAAAGGTTAAAACATTTTTTTTATAAATTTTTTTTATTTACTATGCTCTTCCTTAATTTTCTGAGGTTGTTCGAAAAAATAGAATTTATCCTAAAAATAATAAATTCTATTTCTATTTGACAGATCAAGGAGATGCAAAACATTTCAGGCGATTATGTGTTCGATGACACGCAAAAATTTTGCAACGATGATGAGAATAAAGAGAGACTCTTGAAGGAGAACGAACAGTTGAAGATTTTGATAACCGAAGTGAATTTTATTTTGTTGAAGTCTTCTTGAAATTTATTTGCATTTGAAAATGGTGTCGATCAAAATATTAAATATTTATAAAATGTTTCTTGCAATTGGTTAAACTCCATTCCGATCATCTATTTGAATTAATTTTTACATTTTATTCATGCTCTTTATGAGTCTAAATCATTATTTTCGTTTTAATTTAGCAAAAATCAAATCTTATAATAATCAAACGAAACTTTTAATTTAAATTGATGAAGCGCACTGCGTTTAAAATTCACATAAACTTAATAACTTAACCACATACAAACAAACAGATAATTTAACTATTAAGTACTACTTTAACATTTTAGAGAGAAGAAAGAATTCGTTTTTTAAAGCAACAGCTTCATTTGAAACTCAAGATTGAGAAAGAAAAAAGGAACAACGACGAAGAAAACCACAATCATTCAACAACAGAAGGTTGGAAAAACAATAAACACGAAGCAACTGAAAATAATTACTTAGCAGGCAACAACTTCAAATCAGACAATCGTAAAATTCCAAACTCGTTGTCAAAAAACTTGATAGTATGATGGTGAATTCAACAGACACCCTGGGTTGGAAAGCACACCCTTCGTGTGTGCATGACAGTGAGATCAGTTTTTAATGACCTGAAAATATCTTTAAAATAAATTTTGACTATAAGTGTTTTCTAAAATATTTTTAAAATAAAAATAAAAGGAATCAATCACAGTATTTTGAAAAGATCAATCGTTTAACACTGATGAACAGTAGAATGTTCATTCGGATATGTAGGTAGCAGTGAAGTTGTGAAGTGAAGTCACTGTGAAGTCACTACATGTTTTTGTTGCGATAATGTTCATGAGAATGTCATATTTTGTGAGATTGTCTACTGAATTGTTGAAATTATTGTTTGTTTATTAGCCTGTCAGTTATTTTTCATTTGGCCACTTTACAATATGTCGCAGCATGATGTGTTTTCGAACCTATTCTTGGTCCTCAAATAAGTTTTCGTTGTTATTATGTAACTACTTCTTGCGTTCTCGTGATTGTTTTTAAGAATGTTTGATCTGTTTGTTTGTTCTTTGTCCAATCATTTTCTCTTATCTGTTCCAACGGTCTCAATTATTTTTCTTTTATCCTTTTTTTAACAAAGCGTTTTTATTGCAATAATGTTCTTGTCTTTTTCATTCATCCATTATTTAATCTTTTGCAACGCTCAATTCAGTTCAGTTTTTTTCGCACGTTGATTTGAGTGCTGTTTGTAGATTTCGGCCCTCGCTTGCACATCACTACTATTTCGTTTGTTAAATTTTTTAAGGTGAACTGTTCGTCTAAAGCTAAATTGTTATAAAACGTTCGTCTAGAGCTAAATTGTTATAAAACGTTCAAAATATTGACATCGCACGAAAAAATGAATAATATCATATATATCGACGAAATGAAATGAGATTTAAATGAATTGAATATTTTAGAGACGAATGATTGGTCACCTTAAGCATAGGATTGCTTCTTGATTGCATTCTCTTTATAATATTACCATCATCTGCTTTTACATCTTAAGCATGCATGTCTTGCAAAAATTTTTTGTTCCATTTATTCCTATCAGCAACTATCAACAAATTCAACTTTGCATCTCAAGTTTTTCCGCATCAGCAAATGCGTTTATAAGAACCTTCACTTTAAACCTCTTTTTCTCTTTCTATGTTTGTCCATAAACTTTTTCATTCCTTTCGTTCCACTCTTACCAACTGATCCAGCTCATCACATCTGTTTATTGGCTTTCCTGTTTGCATCAGCAAACATTATAAGATTGCAGATTTATTGTTTTCGAAAAGTATAATTAATAAATTATGCAACTGCTCCTTAGGCACATCGAATCGATGGGTGCGCTGCGACTGAAGTTAAGCATCAACTTTAATAAATTTTAAATAAAAAAATTCACTGTCAATTAATTTTTCCAATTTTAATAATAGTTGCCTTATTACTACCACATAAAAAAATGGTTGCCAAATTTGAAGTGATGAAAAACAGATCTGTTGCGCAGAAATTATAAGCCAAGCGATGAAATTTTTTTATAATTTAATTAAGAAGATATCAACAAATAGTTAATTAATTAACATTTTAAACTTTTGAAATTTTAAAATGTTTTAGCACAAATTGTCAAAAAACGAAAGTTTTATTATTGCATTCTGTTGGTATATTTACATATTTACTCCAATCGTATCGGTTGACCCATATATTTACACCAATCGTATCGGTTAACCTACATGTTTTCACCAATCGTATCGGTTTACCTACATATTTACACCAATCATATCGGTAGGCCTACATGTTTACACCAATCATATTCTTGTCTGAAGTGCAAACTAAAATTTATGTGTTCAGGTAAGAAGGCTGTAATTTTTTCATGAAGATTCGGATTATTCCTGCATTCCAATATCAAATTTCTATTGGCCGTCCGATTATATGATAGATATGATAACAAACTGCTCAATGATTGGTTCACCTTTGAAAAAATGTTTCAATCATTTGATAATTCAGTTAATCCGATGTCATATATATAGTAGGTACGAAAGATCAAAAACCTTTTTATCGTTGATGTTTGTTACACACGAACAAAGTTTTCGGACGATATCCAGGGAGATGAAAGCATCATCCACGCCGATATTTGAATGTATCAGACAGGAAACTAAATCGGCTGTACACAGATATTTGTGAAGATTAAACGATTCAGTTGTGAAATTTGAATCTGTTTCTCATTTGTTAATTTTATAAAAAATTGTTTTCTAACAAAAATCAAATTAATTATGGAGACGCTAGAAAACAACTCTCGTGTTTAGATGCGGTTCTAATGGTTTTCGATTACAAAAATTATAATGTGACTTCTTGTTAACATTAAAACAACATGACAAAAGTCCCAAAAATCGTAGCAAAAGACAACACAGCAGAAAACACATCGGCTATTGTAATGTTTTTTCTAAATATGTCAGTGCTTTCCAAAATTTTTTTCCTCAACTGTATGACGTACAAAACCGCGTATCTTTCCGTTTGAGTATTCTTTGCGGCCGGCATACACCTGGCGTATACGCTGTAGCAATCTGAATTGGACGCTGGCTGATCAATATCACCAGCAAAACTTTATTATTACATTTACCATTGAAAATGTTTTTTTTTATCTTATATTCAATCTGTTTCGGTTCGTACTGCTCCTACCAACCGTTTGTAATTTTCTTAACTTTTTTTTACATGTTTCCGGCATTACCTCTCGTAGATTCAGTTCTTTCTAAAAATTGTTCCTCTTTCAGCAATATTTAACACACTTTTGCGTTCAAAAAAGAGTTTTAGTCTGTTAAGATTTTTACCAGTTTTTAATAGTGGCCGTTATTTATGGAATGGTTTTAAAAAAACTACAAAAAATGTTTGGCCTAAATTGAATAGGGATTCAATGCGATTGGTGTTATATTGTAATTCATTTTGAGAAATGATTCTATTGATGTGTGATTGTTTCTAATTAGAAGTTTATTTCTTCTATTTTGTTATGCTTTTGTATATCCTGTCTCCAAGGAGTGTGAATGGACTGTTGAATGTGAAGGTCTGAAGTAGAGCCCTGTGCAGTGTGCAGACAAAATTTTTCCAAACCGCATCCACACGCACATCTGCGTCCGAGTTTAAAAAACACTTAATTTGCAACTTCAATTTAGGGTATAAAATTGGAAAGAGTACCACTGCAATGCGTTCAGTGCGTGGTTTTCACGCGTATTTATTTATATTGTTTGTCGTTGATACTTTTGAAGCAAGTGTACTAGAGAGAACGACCTTTAACTGCGAGAAAGTTTATTTAAATATTTACACTGTTATAATAACAAAACAGCAAAAAATAGAAATTTTCAGCAAAACCCCATAACTATATAAAACAATTTTTGGAATTTTGTGTAAATAAAATAACAATTTTAAAGGTAATCAAAAAATAAAATTAGAAAAATATTATTCTGAAAATAGTCATTAGTTTTATAAATTTAATTGTGCGGCGGTTTGAAAAAATATTTGAAACGCATCCGTGACAAACCGCACAAACAAGATCCGCAAAAAGCGATACCCGCGGAATTTTGGAATTTGTTACCGCAACCGCGCTTTGGGTTATTTGCGTAGGCATAGGACAAAAAGAATGAAGCTGCCCATCTGCTTAACGTTTTTAAAAATTTACAACCAACAAGAAAATTGTCTCTTTAAAGATTGCAGTTATTTGTTATAGTAAAACACAATTAACGCGTAAAGGAATGGAACAATAAACAGCACGTCGTTAGAGCAAAGAATTATTTACAAGTTTGCAGTGTTGGCTACAAATCGGTTGGTGCTGGTACCTGGTACCTAAGGTAAGATCGGTGATTGGTGTAAGGAGCTTGTGGCCCTAGTTTAGAACTCGCTGTCGTTTAAATTGCGTTGAATTCCTTCGGTTGCAATGTTTGCAAATAAAATAAAAACGTATTTGTTTCATCAGATCCATGCATTTTCTGAGAAACAATAAAATAGAATACTACTATCACTACTAATAATAAAAAAATTGAACGCGATAATTTGTCGTTGGAAATTGTACAGGTGTATTTGGGGGTTTTGTAAATTACGGTCAAAATGTCTGTACAGTGGTAACAATTGCTTTTCACCACTGGAATATTCAGAAGATGATGTGATGCTGAGTATTTTGGAAAAAAAAATAATTTGTACATTTCATTTTTTATAATTTATTTTAATCTGAAATACCAGCGGATGTCAAAACATGCAAGTCATCCCTGGAGAAGCCACGTGCAAAGTTGGCATCGTCAGAATTGATAATTTCTTTTTCATTGATGTCATATTCATCATTCATCGTCCAATGACCACCATCAAATATGTTTACTAGGAAGGTTATGGACTGAGCCAACAGGTCTATAGTTTGCTTGTTGAAAATACACTTAGTAAAAACAATTACCTTTCAAAATTTACAATATAACTTTTCAATGTAAAACATATTTTAAAAATAAATCATGCTTGTTACTTGAAAGGCCGCGTCGATTTTCATAGGTTCATTAGTTTCCTCTGTAAATAATTTTATTATAGATTGCACATGCTCCCATGTTACGTATTTGATCATATGTAATCTTGTAGCCTCATTTATGCACAAAAAAGTCAATGCGCGACCAATTTTCAGATGATGGTTCTAAATTGAAACATTTTCAAAAAATGAAATTACAAATTAACTTCGAGAAAAGACAGCTTACTTTATTTTTCGATTTCAAAAGAGATATGATTCTTACAAATTCACTTTCAATTGAAAATAAACTGTTCATAGTTCTCGCTGACTGTTCCTTCCCAAATATCATACACGATATAGTGAAGAAAAGCTCTACAATAATTTCTTCATCAAATTTACTCGAATGTATTTGAAATTTCAACTTCTCTGCTAAAATTTTCAACACGTCTCTCTTTACCAAGTGTTGTTGTACTTTAGCGTTGTTCTTGTATGATAACCCTAACGAAAAATTTATATCAATAAAAACAAAATTTAGCAAGTTAAAAATTAAAATTATAACTAGATTTACATAATAATAACGCCGCAACAGTTAGCAAGATAATATCGTGTTAATGAAAATATTTTTATGAACCGATTCTATATTTTTGTATAATTTTGTAAAAATTTGATCTCTCATTTTTGAAATGCATAATTTTTTAAATTATTTTTTAATATATATAGTTATATGTTATTATATATGCCAGTATATGTAAATGTCAAGAGTGGTAAGATCATTACGGCAAAGGAGGAGGTGATAGAACGATGGAAAGAGTACCTGAATTTATCTATCTAGGAAGTCGCTTTAACAATGTAGGTGGAATAGAGGAGGAATTGAAGAAAAGGAAAGAACTAGCAGCAGGAGTATTTCAGAGACTATACGCCACAAGACATGACATTGGACTAAAGATCAAACTAAGAACCTGTAACAGTTTCTGCGTTTGTCAGACTCTGATTTTTTAAAGAATAATAAAAGAAAACATGAAATGCTATGGTAATTTATAGGGCTGAGTCGTGAGCATTAACTAGAACCATGGAAAAAAGTTGGATGCCTGCAAGAATATGTGGATCAGAAGAATGATGCAAATAGGCTACAAGGATCATGTCACAAATAAGGAAATTAAGAAAAAAAACAGGACATATGAATATTAGTGATGTTATAAAGAAGTGGAGATTGAAGTGGACAGGAAATATGATGTGGATGGAGGAGTTCAGAACAACTAAAAAAAATCCGGAAGCATCAACCAAAGAGGTAAATTATAATGGTTGTTATTGTAATGTAAGATTTCAACATTGTTGTCCAAGATTTGCCTAGTAATTTTGATTTTGTGTTTCTCTTTCATGTACCCAGATTTTTATCAATAATTGCATTTTTGACACTCTTAATACTTAATTATTTATATATTTATAGTTTTGTTACGACTAAATTATTTTAATTTTATTAGTTTTATTATTAGTTGTTCCTATAGGATTTCAAAATAAGTAAAATTCAATAATTTGGTAATTTGGATTTTTGCAGTTTTTAAATAACAATACTTTGAGACGTTGTGACTTAAAAAATGAAGTAAAAGGAAAAAGATCTTACCTACCCAAACAAAGATTTGTGATGGCTTTTAATGCAGAAATTAGCACATCTCTGTCTAGGTCCGTTACCCTCAGCAATCTAGTTAATGGTGCCAGTGCATCGCCCTCAGACATCTTGTTTTGCATTTTTAAATCATTTTCAACCAAAGCTGCCAACGCATCACAACCTTGAAATATAAAATGAAAGTCGGTGAAACGAATTTGTCGTTATAAACCGAACGTTTGTCGGTTGTTATTAAATTACAAAATCTGATACACAAACTAGAGCCCGTTAAAACAGTATGCAACACAAAAAATGACGTCTTTCACCACCTCTGCAACACTTCCATAATAAACGATTTCAAATAAAAAAAAACAAAACAAAAAAAGATTTTTTCCTATAAAGTACAAAGTTTTATTTAAAATTCACAACACAGATTTGTTCAATCTATAAAAATTTAATTTTAAGTATTTTGTAAATTTTTTTAAAAAATAATTTAAATATATTTTTTAATATGTTTTGTAAATGTTATTCAAAATGATGAATTTAACAAATCAATTTTAACAAATTTGGCTTGTAACAAACTTTCTCAACTCTCAGTTGTATTCCGTAACAAAATCTTAAACTTCCCACACTTAAAGCGTTACGAAATACTCAAACGCCCCTTAAAACGTTTGCTCAAATTTGTTGCATTTACTTAACAAATCAGATTAATTAAAAATTTATGTGCTGTATTGGGTAAATATATACTATCAATTTTGAAACAATTTTGGAAATGTTTAATATTTCACCAATCCTCTGTAGTGTTGACGATTTCTCCATTATCATTTCCATGACAACAATTCCACCCATTACATGCGTCGTTTTGACTTTGTTCTGACTACCACTCAGACTCCAGGTGGCAGCAGCTGCTTTTTCTTTCAACTCCACGTCGTACATCTGAGTTGGGTTTAAAAACGTGTGAGAAAAAAAAATCAAAAGTTAATTTAAAAATGAAACGTAATAAACTTGTAATATTTTGACAAGCGCTTCCAAAACACCACTTTCAATGAATAAATTTTGATATTGGTCGTTGTCACGTGAAAGGCATTCCACTAACAAACAAGTCTCTTTCTGTATTGACGTGTAGCTAGTTTTCAGGTGTTCATTTATTATCCTGTTATCAGCGAAAAATAAGAAAAAAGTTTCATGAGACAGAAAATGATTTTTCCGAAAATCCTTCGTGTATGTTGCCCTAAACTTACAAAACCTTTATATTCTCAAATATGATTTTGTACTATAAAGATGGTCAACTCCATTTAGCCCAACTCTATACCTTTTTTAATAACATCCATTTCACCATAAATGCCTATTTTGCTATATTTTGAGTCATGTCCATTCCGTTTTCCGTTTTTTAAATTCCAATTTAGTCTAATTTCGATTCCTCTACAAGAAAAGGATATGCGGTTCATTTTGTTAAGACTTATTTTTTCCAAATCATTTGCCTAACGTTCATTCATTCATTTTTTGTGTTTTTGATCTTTAAAATTTGCTCATTTTGAATCTTGTTTGAAATTTTCACAAAACAAACGGTTAGCAAAAACTAGTTGTCAAAGTTTATCTAAAAACTTTGTAATTACCGTATGTATTTACAATATTATTTACAACAATAACTTAGTTGGATGTATGAAAAATTTTGATAAAATACTACATGGTTGAATTCAAGTAAGCAACTGATGAAACAACAGAAAGAAAATTGATCATCATAGCCTTTTTTATATTAAGCACATAGCTAGGATCAAAATGTAGTGCACTCTTAGAGTACTTTTAAGATGAGCTTCGTATGTAAAACATCTCATTATGGTAAAAAATGTTTAAAAGCAAATCACATATTAATAAAAATTATTATTCAAAATTTTGCTGAAAAGTTTTTATTTGAAATCTGTACAACAATCCTCTCATGTAACAACATAAGAAGCACAGTAACACTTTAATAATTTTTGCTTAAAAAATGCTAAAAATGTTGCAACCTTGTTATTTCAACGTGTTTGTTTTCATGCAGCATCATTATGTACATTTTCGTTTTTTCATTATTGTTTGCCATGGACCTCAAAGTTTGGATGGCAGATAATTTAACTTCATCTATGAAAATATTTACATCAAGTTCAAAAGCGCTAAAAATCATTTCTTACAAGGAAATAATCGCATAAATTTTGAGCATTCTATTCTATAATTTTTTCTGGAAACTAAGAATAAATTCGTACCGAAGTCGTTTCTCCTCATCAGCTCCATAACCATTTCCACCATGCCTTCTTCCATCATCTTTTCTTGATTGTTGCTACAATTATAGCAGAGCAGCTGCGTGGTTAACAAAGTATTCAATAAGACGTCATTCGTGCTGCTTGTTCGCAACTGACTGGCCAGCAATATGATGCAACCGGCTTCTACTAATGACGTCATCTGTTTGGTTTCAAAATTTTAAATCAGTGTTGTGTTTCAGTTTTTTATCACCACATTTTCGAAATGTTGAATATCTCAAAGTAATCTAAAGCAAACTGAATGAATATTTTGAAAGCATACCATGAGCTCAAGTAGATGGTTGATCAACTGGCACGTGCGCCACTTTGTGAAGTCATCATCTGACGAAAACAATTTAACGATCGCATCGGCAGAAGTAGGGATGTCTGATATTAATTTTTTAACATTGTCGCTTTTGCATAAATTTAGAAGAACGCTAGCAATTAGTTCTTTCACTTTAAAGTTTGTTATACCGAAGTTCTGTAAAAGACTGATCAGTCTATTTACTCCACCTTAAAAATAATTATATCTCGTAAAAAATCATTGATTGGTGTGTTTAATATTATGAGATCTAACCAATTTCAACAAATTCATTCATATTAATAGATGACTCCGTTAAATATTCCAGAGTTTTGAGAGCAGTTATCTTCGAGTTGTTGGCTGAAGATGTCATCATATCTTCAAATTGTTGACAATTAATAAATACCATTCACGAACAAATTAAGTAAGTATGTACCCACTAAGTAAGACCGGCCACACCTCGACTGAACAACTTTCTAAATAATATTTCACCATATCAAATTTCAAGTTGTAGACTGAGAGTTCAACAATGCCATTTTGATGGCAATCTAGTAGACCGAGGTCTGCTCCAAAAGTTTTCAAAAGTTTGAAAGTTTCAAGAGCCCCGGAAACCGCACAAAGCATTATTGATGTGTACTGATTGCTGTGAGAAACAATTAATTTGTAGGCATTCAATTATAGAAATCAATCATAAATTGATTTCGCCAATAGAAATTATGTGTTTGTGAAATTGCAATTTTGATGATAGTGTCAACAATGGGTAGGACTGTACTGCTTCAATATCACACTTGCTTTCATTCCAATAATCTCAAACCTAATCGATTCCATCAGTCTGGTACTAACTATCGTAAGTAAACTTGCATGTAATGGCGAAAATAGACAAAATTAACGGGGTCAAAACTTCCAAAAATTCTACTTTTTTTTGTCAGGATAAAATAAGGCTAGCGATTTTTTTTCTTCTCATATTACGCCAATTTTTGGTCGATATTGCTCTTAAAATATTTAGTTTTACTGATTTTTAATATAAACACTGCATGCCAATGTTCTCAGGCCAAGTATGAAAATAAGATGCTGCTGCTTCTGCTGATGAACTTTCTTTCAACGACTGAAACCCGCTTAGCTCTTTAGGACATTATGGAAAATAACTCGATAATCGAAATAACAAAAAACTGTACGAAAGCTTCCTCGATTTGGTGGGTCACAAACATTTTCTTTTTCGGGTAAAACTGAATAACTCTCATTATTACAAAAAATAATTGTGATTTAAACTTGTTTCTACCCATTATTAATATCTGTCATCAACATAAAAATTTTCATAGACGTATTTTAAAACTTACTTATCGTTAGTCCTAGCATCGAGAATGTTCATATCATTCGCAGCATCATCATCGAGGCTCATGTCCGACTCGAAGTGTTCAGTCTGTCCCAGTTGCGACGAGTGAATGATGCATCGAGTTATGAGGACGTAATCACTGAAGGAGGAATGATGGATCGGCAGCCAGCCAAACTCATCTCTCGATGACGTCATCATTCTACGGTTTATAAGGAAGCGAGTGGTTTCATGTGATCCACATGCACAGCTCAGGTGGAGGAGGGTGTGGCCTGTGTGGGTCATGTACGATGTTCATCGAAAGTTATCCCCTGCAATTAATAAGGCTAACCACATTTATTGCCACACTTAAGAATCTATCTATAAATCAATCATAATTTCGTATCAAAAATAAATACATATACATACATACATGCACACGCATGCACAGTACACACTGTAAACTACCCTATCAAGTTTCTACATTCACTCAATTCTTACCACAGCATTTTCAACCTTAAAATCAGTACGCCAATACTGTTGTAATAAAACCAGACTCCAGGTAAAAACTGCGAAAAAATTAACTGAAGCCTTAAGAATTTGTAAAACTAAAATATATTTATTCTTAGAATGTCTTGGATTCCACCAGAATTAGTTCATGACTGTTTTCTCATGGTCAGTTGTTCAAAAGTAAGTTCATCAAAAGATCTTAGTATTCCTCAAAAAGAGATACGAACAAAAAATATAGTGCATAGAGAAATTTTTAAATAAGTCATGAACATTGAAAAATAAGACATAAAACATACTGAATTTAAAAAAAACTGTGAATTAGAGGATTGCGATCGACAAAAACTAATTTTGAGTTTAACTGTTTAGCTCAGCGAAGCGGACGAATAACAGCTTATATTTGGTCAAAGATCCTAAATTATTTAGATCCTGAATTTTCCACGATAATAAGAAATTTTCTAAACATGTTATTTTCATATATATCATTAGTATTGCAATTACAAACACCCTCACCGTTTATTTTCTCACTGATCTCACAACCCATCTCAAAGATGGCGGACATGAGGTAAACAAAGTTGTTGATCGCCACCTCCTCAATGATACTTATATTATCGCCCTCCTCGCCGTTCCTATCGTTATCGGAATTTTTCATCTTAGAAGCGTCGATTTTTGCTCCGTATGATTTAATGCTGTTGTTAGTTATAACTTTGTATTCTTTGTATTCTTCGCCGTCTGTCGAACCGATTTTGGTATTTTTATCAATTGTTAAATAGTTCTCTATTTCATCATTGCTGTCATTATTTTTATTGTTGGGACTGCTGACAAGTTTTCGAAAGTTGTGACATTTCCTGGCCAGCGATGTGAACAGAGATAAGATGCACTGGCGGGAGGAGGTGAGAAGAGCTCTGCTTAGAGAGGCCTAGGAAATTTTTATTGGAAATTATGCGTCGTGTGTGAGTGCAACATATAAAAAAATCACTTTATAGTTATTAATATTCTACATTTAATTCAGAAGACATAGCAAGAATTATAAGATTTGTTGCCTGAGAGAAAATTTATAGCTACTTTAAATGTTCAAAACCCTCTGCATACAAAAAGAAACACCGCCGTATCAATATTAATGCCTAAATGTACGAAGATACCTTGCACCTGGCCGCTTCTTTGTAGCCACACTTCGTTTTGAAGATTTCGTTGACGGTGATGTCATTCAAGGGCGCCAGAGTTTTACTTTTTAAGATTTCCAACTCGTTTTGAAGGTGGGACACCCACTCAGCGGGCCGCTTTGTTGCATTCAGTGGAAGCATTATATAACTGAATTCACGTTGAAAAAATTGAAAAATGAAAATTTATATTCGTATAGCACTATTTCTACATTTAATCTGAAGGGACATATCAAAAAGTGTTGAGTTTTCGAGCGCACAGTTGAATAAATAAAAACTCTACATGGGGTTAAGCATTCAAAATTAACACATGCATTAACATTTTCCCATTCAATTTTATCATCGGCAATTCTTTTTCGTCGTTACTGTTGTTGTTGCCATCTGATTTCCGAGATGACGACTCCAAAAATTTCAAGCACTCCTTACGTATGTAACTGCAGCACGAATCTTGCATCTCTTTCGATGGCTTGGATGCCTCAGGCAGAAGCGTATCGAACGATACACCTGAATGTTTTATTAATGTATACTGTAATATACTGTATATACTGATATGCTGTAATACTGTTGTTGATACTGTAATTTCTCGATTTAAAACTTAAAATTTCTTATTTATTCTAGTTATAGCATATTTAATTTCTACCGCAAAACTGTTAATTTGTTAAGTCACTTCTAAAAATATAAAAAATTGTTTAAATTAAATATTTTCAAACTGTTCTATTGTTTTGTTTTCCTGTCCTGTCTTATTAGTGCTTCGTCATCATGGCAAAAAATGTCTCAGCCGAAAGTTTTGAAGTTCTTGTGTCAAAAATTTTGGACAAATCAAACGAAAATTTATTGAAATGTATAGATAAATTATTAGAAAAATCAAATGACAATCTGAAAAAAATTATTGATGTTTCCAATAAAAACCTAGAAAAATTGTTTGAAAAGTCAGACCAGAATCTAATTCTAGTATTAGAAAAATGTAATGACAACCTGCGCAAAATAGTAGCCCATTCCGAGAGCCTTATGAGCAAGCTGTTTGAAACAACAATAATCAGAATGGAAGCTCTAAGTAATAGCTTCGAAAACGCCGTTAAGAGCATGTCCGATGCCGTGACTGGTAGTATGAAAGAACTTCACTCCGCTATGTCAACACTGGCCACCAGTGTTACTGAGTGTCAAAAGCAGGTAACTAAACTTAATAAATCTCCCATGCTTGAGACAGTGACTAGGGCCCTTTGGTCAGTGGAGCAGGAAAAGAAAGATGAAGAACGTCGGTCTAAAAATGTTATCATTTCCGGTCTCGAGTTGCAGCCAGGATGTAACGACAAAGATATGGTTTTATCGTTATGCGAGAACCACCTCACGGTCAAGCCAACAATTGCTAGAACTCGCCGTATCGGAAACCACAGGTTATGTGTCACGCTAGACAATTCATGGGCAGCTGAGGACCTGATTGCCTCATCAAGGATCCTCCGCTCTTCTTCAACAACAAAAGGTATCTTCATCAACCCTGACCTTTCCAAAAGGCAGGCCGAACAAGCCTTCTTGATCAGACAGGAGAGACGTCGCATCAGAACTACCAACAACAACTCTAAAAATGCCCAGCCCTTTCTTTCAGTCCTACAACAATAAACACATTCGTATGGCCTTAGCTAATGTTCGTAGCATTCAAAAGAAGCAAAATGATCTCAATTTATTTTTGTCAGTTTACAGACCAGAAATATTTTCTGTTATAGAAACATGGCTTACTCCAAATGATCCTGACAACTTATTTTTACCTAGCGGTTATTCTTTTGTTCGCAGAGATCGTGCAACACGTGGTGGCGACGTGGCTTTCATCATCAATGACACTATTCAATACAAGATCGTTTCAATACCATCCCAGTTCTCCCACATAGAAATAGTTTCAATTGATGTTTCCATTTCAAAGAAAAATTATCGCTTCGTCTCGTACTATCGAAGTGGTGGTTTTGATAAATCAGCAGAGGAATATGCGTTTGATAGTGCCAGGTGCATCAAAGAATTCAGCAAGGGAGATGTGATTTGCTTGTTAGGTGATTTCAATCTCCCACTAATTAATTGGAATAATTATTCTGCACCAAATAACGTCATCTACAATACTTTTATCAAACTTTTCAATGAATTAGGTCTCTACCAACTTGTCGATCAACCAACTCGTGGAAATAATATTTTAGATTTGATCCTATCTGATGATGCCAGCCTACTTGTCGAGTTAGAAATTTCCTGTCCATTTTCTTCCAGTGATCACAACTGCCTTACCTTTCAAGTTAACTGCATCACTCATAACTCAACTGACAAATTCTCTAACAATGATAACGACACTTCCTTTTATAATTACAACAGTGCAGACTTCACTAATATGAATGAATGCCTGAGGCTAATCAACTGGGACAATATTTTTCAGCACTGCTTCGACGTCAACACATGTTGGGACATTTTTGAGCGTTTGATAAACAACCTTATGGCAACTTACATCCCTCGATCTTTTCTGAGAAGCAAAGAACACAAAATACAGGTTCCCTATCAACTTCGTCAGTCTTATAAAGTAAAACTTCACTACTGGAAAAAATGGAAACGAACTTCTTCACCGGATGATAAAGAGCAGTATTTGAATATGTCACGAAAATGTTCTGGCTTAGCAAACAGTTACAGAATAGTCAATGAACATAAACTGCTTTCTAAATGCAATGTCAGAAGTTTTTACCAGTATGTCAACAAAAAAATGCTATCGCGTCCCAATGTCAGTAGTTTAAAGTTAGATGACAATAGCGTGACCTATGACCCGCTGATAATGGCCAATGCATTCAACAAATATTTTTCTTCCGTATTTACACATGATAACAACTCCAATTGTTCCAAACCTTGTCTAACCAACAACTTGTTAGAAGATATTTGTTTCACTCCCCATATAGTTTATATAACTCTGCGTAACTTAAAAAATTCAACCTCAGCTGGAACAGATGGTATACCGAATGTTGTCCTGAAGATGTGTGCATCTAACCTATCAGTTCCATTATGTCATATTTTTGATCTATCATTTAGAAATAACCAGCTATCAACTAAATGGAAATCTGCTATTGTTACTCCCATTCATAAAAAGGGTCCCACAAACCACCCCAGCAACTACCGACCTATTTCACTCACGAGTTCAAGTTGTAGAGCAATGGAAAAGATTATAAACAAAGTAATATTATCCTTTCTTTTAGAAAACAAACTAATTACGCATTTTCAACATGGTTTTCTACCTGGTAGATCAACCTGCACCAACTTAATGCAATTTTACAGCGACTGGATATCACTTCGTCAGAACAAAGAAGGCTGTGACACCATTTACCTCGATTTCCAAAAAGCTTTTGATTCTGTGTCACACTCGAAACTGGTCGGAAAATTAAGATCCTATGGAATATCTGGTAATCTGCTTGCCTGGCTGTCGGACTTCTTGTCTCAACGTTCCCAGCTTGTTAGAATTCAAAACAAATTATCCAATTAGGCATCGGTTACCAGTGGTGTCCTCCAAGGCAGTGTCTTGGGTTCAACTCTATTCATTGTCTTCATTAACGACATTGTTGAACGCATTTCATCTATTTCAGTTTCAAGTTTGCTATTCGCTGACGATATTAAATTATACAGCCGTTCATCCAACTCAGTTCAACTTCAACAGGCCATCAACGATATAACAGCTTGGAGTATCAAATGGCAGTTGCCACTCTCTCCGAGTAAATGCTGTCATTGCTCATTTCTTCCATCTTCGAGATCAACATTAGTTCCACATCAATATTATATAGATCAACATCTTCTCAGTTGTACAAATGACTTCAGAGATCTTGGTGTGATAGTGGACAGCAAATTCAACTTTAATGCGCATATCAACAACATCACTCACAAGGCTTCTTCCCGCGCTCGCTTAATCGTCAAATGTTTCACATCTAAGAATAAGGATCTACTTGTGAAGGCTTTTTGCAGTTATGTACGTCCTCTAATTGAATACTGCTCACCGCTATGGAATCCGCACTACAAATATCAAATAACCAAGATTGAAAATGTTCAGAGAAGATTACCAAAT